CTGATTGGTCCTGCGGCAGTCAGCGCTTACCTCTCTTCTCCTCCACTCCGGCTGTCAAGGACCTTGCATTAGACGTGATGACGTCATGGGACCTTAAACCACTGCAGCCTAGGGGAGAAGCTGTGGGGACCAGTCTAGGCTGCGGTGCCATTGACTTCAATGCACCGCTAGGCCCCCTCCCACCCCAAAACAAAGTGAGCCGGACGGAATGCGTATCCAGTGCGTTCTGGCACCAATCGGCCCGGAACACACTGGACCTGGTGTGAACTAACCCCAACAGCTCTGTGAATTATTGTAAATGATTTTCTGTAAGCTTTCCTAACTTTACTGTTGGAAGAAAAATCCAATCCAAATCCTTCTATTCCAAATGGGATGAATAATGGGATTCGTTTTATTCCAAGTTGTGAAACATGAATTATATCAGTTACTAGCTCCAGCATGAAGTTGAAGTTAAATCCCTGACAGTCAGCAGCGGGTCTTAAAGAAGTGTAATCCTACAGAGTAGTACCCAGGGAACGGAGTAGGGATTAGTGGACTCATGGCACCCGGCGGGGTCTTTATAGCTGTGCCAGGCTATGATGGCACAGTGAGCGCCCAGGCTATAATCCACCTACCTGCAACCATTTAGGGAAGAAATGTTTCTCCAGGAGCCCTACGAGGCTGGACAGGGAGCTCATCCCCTCCCAATCCATCACCCACAGGAAGACGTCCATGTGCTGCTGATGAGGATTAATGATGAATTCCGCCATACACATGCCTGGCAAACACAACGACAGCTCCAATAAACAGACGGACAAGTAAAGGATCAGTACACATATAAAAGAGTCTACAGGAAATTAGGAGCTCAATATCTGGCAGATCAGACATTTTTCTGTACTTGCAACATTTTTAAAAGATTATGAGGGGAATCAAAACTGGAGCAGGCAAAATCTGGAGCAGCTGTGCACAGCAACCAATCAGCTTCTCTCTTCAGTTAAGAGTTGAAAATGAAAGAGAGAAGCTGATTGGTTGCCATGCACAGCTGCTCCAGATTTTGTCTGCTCCAGTGTTGATAAATTCCTCTCTATGAGGAAATGTGCATGTATTGTAGAGATATACTGAATGGGTTTGCTCTTTTTTTGACCTTACAGTATCCTATTAACTTTGAATTATTATTGTTACATAGTATTTATATAGCACCAACAGTTTGCGCAGCGCTTTACAATATAAGGAAGACATTACAGTTACAATACAATTCAAGACAAGATGGTAAGGAGGGTCCTGCCCCTGAGGGCTTACAATCTAAAAGAAGAGGGGGAAATGATACATGAGGTAGCTGTGGGAATGAATTATGTGAGAACGTAATGGTTGAGCGGTTAGGTTGAGGTTGGATAGGCTTCCCTGAAGAGATGAGTCTTTAGGGAACGCCTAAAGGCAGTCAAGGTGGGAGATAGACGGACAGGTTGGGGTAAAGAGTTCCAGAGGATGGGAGAGACTTTAGAGAAGTCCTGGAGGCGAGTATGGGAGGAGTGGACAAGGGAGCTGGAAAGCAGGAGGTCAATGGATGAGCGGAGGGGACGGTTAGGGTGATACTTTGAGACAAGGGATATATCCGGGGGGAGAATGAGCCTGAAATGGACTGCCGCTATTTTGGGCAACACAACAGTGCTGGTGCATTTGTTTGAGCTGTATGTGCGGTTGGTGTGCTATTCAGATACCGCTCGTGGAAAGGTGCGATTCAAGTCTATTGTAAAACGATCACATTTTTGGCTCAAGTATATACTATTATATATCAGATTATTATATTCAGCTATTTATAGAAATGTTTTATTTTACAAATAAACATTTAATACGGTGTATTATAGTGTCAAAGAACATGTCATATTCTCTGTATCTGAAACTCTGTACGGGACAGGTACAGATCGGAAGGGAAAATCTGTGTGTAATCTGAGCTTTTGATATTAAAGTGACACTAAACTCCAGTTTAAAATCTTAAAAACGCATTCAAGTACCTCAACTATTAACAATAATGTATTTTGTTTGTGTATCACTCGGCTGTAGATCCTCAAATCATCTCTGAATTGGTGCTGACACTGTCCTTCCTTCTGGAGGGTGACTACTTTTGTTCCCCATGGTCCCTGTGTGTGTTGTAAAGTTGAAGCTGTGTGGGCAGCCCCTGCCACCCCCCCCCCCCCCCCCCCCCAGCTTCCTGATTGGTCCTGCGGCAGTCAGCGCTTACCTCTCTTCTCCTCCACTCCGGCTGTCAAGGACCTTGCATTAGACGTGATGACGTCATGGGACCTTAAACCACTGCAGCCTAGGGGAGAAGCTGTGGGGACCAGTCTAGGCTGCGGTGCCATTGACTTCAATGCACCGCTAGGCCCCCTCCCACCCCAAAACAAAGTGAGCCGGACGGAATGCGTATCCAGTGCGTTCTGGCACCAATCGGCCCGGAACACACTGGACCTGGTGTGAACTAACCCCAACAGCTCTGTGAATTATTGTAAATGATTTTCTGTAAGCTTTCCTAACTTTACTGTTGGAAGAAAAATCCAATCCAAATCCTTCTATTCCAAATGGGATGAATAATGGGATTCGTTTTATTCCAAGTTGTGAAACATGAATTATATCAGTTACTAGCTCCAGCATGAAGTTGAAGTTAAATCCCTGACAGTCAGCAGCGGGTCTTAAAGAAGTTTAATCCTACAGAGTAGTACCCAGGGAACGGAGTAGGGATTAGTGGACTCATGGCACCCGGCGGGGTCTTTATAGCTGTGCCAGGCTATGATGGCACAGTGAGCGCCCAGGCTATAATCCACCTACCTGCAACCATTTAGGGAAGAAATGTTTCTCCAGGAGCCCTACGAGGCTGGACAGGGAGCTCATCCCCTCCCAATCCATCACCCACAGGAAGACGTCCATGTGCTGCTGATGAGGATTAATGATGAATTCCGCCATACACATGCCTGGCAAACACAACGACAGCTCCAATAAACAGACGGACAAGTAAAGGATCAGTACACATATAAAAGAGTCTACAGGAAATTAGGAGCTCAATATCTGGCAGATCAGACATTTTTCTGTACTTGCAACATTTTTAAAAGATTATGAGGGGAATCAAAACTGGAGCAGGCAAAATCTGGAGCAGCTGTGCACAGCAACCAATCAGCTTCTCTCTTCAGTTAAGAGTTGAAAATGAAAGAGAGAAGCTGATTGGTTGCCATGCACAGCTGCTCCAGATTTTGTCTGCTCCAGTGTTGATAAATTCCTCTCTATGAGGAAATGTGCATGTATTGTAGAGATATACTGAATGGGTTTGCTCTTTTTTTGACCTTACAGTATCCTATTAACTTTGAATTATTATTGTTACATAGTATTTATATAGCACCAACAGTTTGCGCAGCGCTTTACAATATAAGGAAGACATTACAGTTACAATACAATTCAAGACAAGATGGTAAGGAGGGTCCTGCCCCTGAGGGCTTACAATCTAAAAGAAGAGGGGGAAATGATACATGAGGTAGCTGTGGGAATGAATTATGTGAGAACGTAATGGTTGAGCGGTTAGGTTGAGGTTGGATAGGCTTCCCTGAAGAGATGAGTCTTTAGGGAACGCCTAAAGGCAGTCAAGGTGGGAGATAGACGGACAGGTTGGGGTAAAGAGTTCCAGAGGATGGGAGAGACTTTAGAGAAGTCCTGGAGGCGAGTATGGGAGGAGTGGACAAGGGAGCTGGAAAGCAGGAGGTCAATGGATGAGCGGAGGGGACGGTTAGGGTGATACTTTGAGACAAGGGATATATCCGGGGGGAGAATGAGCCTGAAATGGACTGCCGCTATTTTGGGCAACACAACAGTGCTGGTGCATTTGTTTGAGCTGTATGTGCGGTTGGTGTGCTATTCAGATACCGCTCGTGGAAAGGTGCGATTCAAGTCTATTGTAAAACGATCACATTTTTGGCTCAAGTATATACTATTATATATCAGATTATTATATTCAGCTATTTATAGAAATGTTTTATTTTACAAATAAACATTTAATACGGTGTATTATAGTGTCAAAGAACATGTCATATTCTCTGTATCTGAAACTCTGTACGGGACAGGTACAGATCGGAAGGGAAAATCTGTGTGTAATCTGAGCTTTTGATATTAAAGTGACACTAAACTCCAGTTTAAAATCTTAAAAACGCATTCAAGTACCTCAACTATTAACAATAATGTATTTTGTTTGTGTATCACTCGGCTGTAGATCCTCAAATCATCTCTGAATTGGTGCTGACACTGTCCTTCCTTCTGGAGGGTGACTACTTTTGTTCCCCATGGTCCCTGTGTGTGTTGTAAAGTAGTCACCGATCCAAGCTTGCTCCTGTGTTGGACTACAATCTCATGTTTAGTTTACTGATTTGTATTGAGGTTGTAGTCCATCAGGGGCCTGAGCTTTGAGCGGTGACTACTTTACAACACACACAGGGACCATGGGGAACAAAAGTAGTCCCCCTCCAGAAGGAAGGACAGTGTCAGCACCAATTCAGAGATGATTTGAGTTGACTTACTTCAATTTGGTACAATTTAACAGACAACTCACCTAACTTGGGCACAATGTTTTTCACCATAAAGGCATCCCAGGATCCCGGGGTGAAGACCTCCTTCCAGGGTTGTAGGATCAACTTAGCAGAGGAGTCACTGGGATGCCACTTTTGCAGGGCATTGGCCAGCTTGTTCCTGATCGGGGAGAACAGAGGCTCTAGCCGAGACTGCATCATTGGGAGCCAGGGGTGGATCCATGAGTGGATGGGTACCGTGTCAGTCAGGGGATTCCAACTCTCCACCTTAAGAATAACAATACCATGATCAGCTTTCTGTGTATTAGGATTTCAGCTTATGCCTGCAAGCGGGTGCAGACAGTGCAAACACAAACTAGCTCTGCTCAGACTGCTGTTACTAATGATGTGGTATAGTGCAAGTGCAACTTATTATGGACTTGCTGAATTAATATAGTGCCAACATAATATGTAGCCATGTACAGACTACATAGAACCGTAACTTCAGTCCTTAAGAAGCTTACAGTTTGCTACTCCTATTACACCTTTACCGAAACAGAAAAATGCAATCTTTACAAGAACAGCCATCGGACCACCAGTCTCCAGACCCCAAGCCATATGGGGATGGCTCAGATATGAGGAAGCCACTACCAAGACGGCTGCTGGCTGCCAAACAGAGACAAAATGAGGCATGGCAAGCCATGAATAGGGAAACTATCAGAAGCAGGGAGCCTACAGGCAATACTGGTAGCTAGTCCTTGGCCCTCTGCTTCTCCTACTTGGGCACAAATCTCCACAGTTCAGATCCTCTTTAAAGAACAACTGCGGGCAGAAATTGTATTAACCCTTGCAATGAGGCTACTCCCGCACAGCAAGGGTTAACTGCTCATTATAAACACCCAATCCTCAGTGCCGACAGCGCTCCCTCCTGCCTCTCTCCTCAGCTGCAGCAATGGTATGTGCCTTTGCATTCTCACGTCCTATACACTGTATTGGACATGATGACTCGAGGATTTCTAGACAGCTGTAGAGGATGGGGAGATATGCTCTAGGCACTGGTCTAAAGGTGCCCATACACTGTACGATTATCGTACGATAATCGCGGGAAATCCCACAATCTTACCATAATCGCAAAGTGTATGGAAGGCGTGCGACCGTTTCTACTGTACGACGCACGTCTTCCGTCAAACAAGCAGGCTGGAAAACCCGCCAAGAATCGCACGATTCTCGGCGGGTTAGTGGCGTGCTTGTTCAACAACTGCCGAACGGGCCGGTGTGCGCACGTTCAGCATTGCAGTCATCGGAAGCCTGCCCCTCAGCGGGGCGGGCTTGCGATGATCGCAAGTACCATCTGCCTGTCCAAGATGGGCAGATCGTACGTTTTTAAAATTACTTTACAACCCTCGCAAGACACCCTATGCAAAGCCATACTGAAAGGGTAATACACTTTCTGCAGAGTTCTTCAATTCCCAGTCCATGATAATATGAATCATTATTAGCAGTTTGTATGAAAAATCATTGCAATATGATGACTACTCTAGAGCAGCAGAAGTAGCTAAAGGAAGGTTAATAGGGAAAGTGTCACCTTGAGCTACAGGCTCAGCTGAAGTTCCCCCATTAATGACCTCCCCTCTCTCATGGAGGAAGCTTCAAAAGCAAATCTTCACATCCGACATTAGGTGGTTATTTTTCATGCAGTGCTCCTTACTAACCCTCCACCTACAAACTATTAGCTCTGGTTTCAGTTCTCAACAAATATGCCAACTCCATAACGAATGTGTTTTATATTAAACATTTGATCATGAGAAATCATCAGGAAGCTCACCTCCTTCTGCAATTTGGGGAAAACCAGCTGATCTAATATATTGTCTAGAATCCAAACTGGGAGCAAGTAGACCCAGCTGTCCAAGAAGTCCACCATGGGGGCACAGTTTCTAGGCTGCCATTGAGAGATGATGTTTCGCAGAAAGGGAACCCACGTCTCCCACAACAGTCTGAAGAGAAAAAAGAAGAATCAATTGAAATACACAATCATTAGTATACTCAGGCACAGACAAATCATATTGGAGAAGTTGTCACGCAGTGAAACAATGTAAGCAGACGTGTCAAAACAGCAGCCAGCTCTCCACTGAACACCGTGCCAAACAAAGTGATTCCAATGTAAGCGGCTGACCTTCTTGGTGTTTTATTTTGCAACTCATGATGTTTCATTTGCTGTAAAACAGGGCTGGAAGATTGTATGTTCTTCCAGAGGCAGAGACTCGTCAGCTGCGGTATTAAAGCCCTCGCAGTGGGCCTGGAGACTGCAGGAAAAGGGTATGCGTAGGGTGGTGTTCTTTTATTTCAAATAGATCCAAAAGGGGCAGCAGGTGTGGTAGAAGATAGAGTCTTGCCTTAAATTTGTCTACATGTGTATGACTTTTAGAGCCATGGATCACAAAGAATACTTTTGTACAACACAGAAAGAAAGAGTTCTCATTCTGAAAATGAATCGGATTAGTACATGTGGCAATAATACTTAGCAGGGAACATTAAATAACTGATTACCTCACATTTAAGTGGAACTGTAGTATATATATATATATACACTACAGTTCCACTTAAATGTGAGGTATATTTCACCAAAAATTTTTTTATTAGAATTTTACTTATAAACTTTAATATTTATCAATTTCTTTTTTTCACTTTACTTTTAGGGGCTTCGGGGAAATATTAGGCATCTAAACAGACCCCTGATATTTCCCTTTAAAATAGAAAAAGAGATTGAGGACTCTGTGTTTTCAATCTCTTTTTCTGTATCCCCTGTTATCAATGAACAGGAATCCTTTATACTGAGTGTTCCTGTTCATTCATAACATGAGGACAGAGTAGGTTTACTATAACCACAATCATGAATGTACAGGAGGTGATGTAGATTATTCCCATTCATTCATAATTGAGGATATAGTGAACATACCATATACTCAATCATTTACAAACATTCAGCGATCACTGAGTGTTTGCACTTGCTCTCCTCTGTCACAGGCGGCTGAGCGGACGGAGCAGGGAGGAAAGCCCGGCCTCCTGTGACAGCGCGGGCTGTCTCCGCCCCCACACTGTTCTGCCCGACTGTGATAGGCAGCTGAGCGCTGTGGGAGGAGAGACGCTGGCCGCTCACTGCACTCTCCTCCCGTAGCGCTCGGCCGGCTGTCACTTTCTCTCCTCACCGCTGGGACACAGAGCAGCGCCCAGCGGGCAAGAAAGAAACCTGGGATGCGCCGATGTATCGGCAGGAACATGGCACTTTCGGCATTTAGCCAAAAGTGCCATTTTCAGCCGATATATCGGTGCATTACTAATTTCTACCTTTATAATGTGAAATTATACAGTACAGCTATTCCTCACTTGACAACAGAGTTCCGTTCCTACGACCAGGTCGTTAAACGAATCGGTCATTAAGCAAGGAAATGTATACAGTACTGTACTGCGTTAGTACAGTCCTGTATAGTGTTGGAGATGTACAGTACTGTACAGTGTACTGTAAATCTGTCAATACATTACTTACCGAGACAAGCAGCGGAGAACGGAGTACAGCACTGAAGACGGTGAGACGACGCACTGCCGATGCCAGGCTCCCGCACGTACAGTCGGAGAGCTGGTCATAAGTGCGAGTGGTCGCAAAACAAGTCGTTAAGTGAGGAGTATCATGAGGAGTCATACTTGATATTTTATTTCCCTGCATGTCTATCAGACAAGGTCTGCCTGTAGTACTTTTACACTACAACACTGTGATTTGGCAATGCTGACATGTGTCCTAATTAAATCATACAAAGGGTTCATTTTACTGATCGGTCCACTTTAAGAGACTGAGGACAATCACTACCTGTGATACGGGTCCAAGGTTGCATCCTGTGCACTATGGGAAAGATGACCTTCCTCCAGGAGATCCTTCCACTTTGACATGACATCAATGCCATATGTAGCGTCCTGAACAAACAGATAAATACAAACACAGCATGATGACAGGTAAGATACGGATCGTTTATCTATGGTTACATTTTCAGCCTAAATGCCAGATTGGGACTGTAACAGAGAGCTATTATATGTTCAACTAATGTTTTATGTTTCAAGTAATGACTGTGGAAATATATTAGCAAGCCTTCCTTTAGTCTGACACCAAGCCAAGGGTAGTCGGACACGAGCATCCGCACAGAAGATCTGACGATCATTGCATTATTTCCAGGAGTAGATCTTTCAATAAACAGTTTTTAGATTGTAAGCCCTCACGGGCAGGGCCCTCCTTACCATCTTGTCCTGAATTGTATTGAGATTGTAATGTCTTCCTTATATTGTAAAGCGCTGCGCAAACTGTTCGCTAAATCCTGTATAATAATAAACAGGCAGAACAGGTCCTGGAGACCTCTGCTTGCGCGAGCAGAGGAAGGTGGTTCTGCGGAGGGTGAAGAGAGGTCTACTATGTTTCTTGGGGCATGCTGGGATCATGGAGGGGCTGCAGAACATGTTGTATCATGAGAAGAGTGGGAGATGCAAAGTCCTGTGTTTTTCCGATAGGTCAGTAGAGCCGACATGTGGAGTAGTGACCCAAAACTTCCAGAAAGAAGTCAATATCCCACTCCTGATGCACAGCTTAGAAAAATATAGAGGGAAATCTATCAAAACTGTTGTACACAAAATCTGGAGCAGCTGTGCATGGCAACCAATCAGCTTCAATCTTTCATTTTGAAAGCTTAAATGAACAAACTGAAGATAGAAGCTGGTTGGTTATTATGGACAACTGCTCCAGATTCTGTTTGCTCCAGTATTGATAAATTCCCCCCATAGTCTTGTGTAGGAAGGAGCAGCAGGGGGGCAGATGGGCTGAACAGGGTGGTACTTGCAGCAAACAGCATGAGGAGCCAGGCTGGTATCAGGGATCTGCCGTTTTCCACAATGGACGATAAAAGAAAATCGCTGATCTACCACCCACTTTGTAGTGCGCTCTTAGGTAGCAGTGTTGCTATTCTTAGGAAGGACTGCTACTTTCATACGTTTCAAATGAAATGTACGACAAGTTCACATGAACTCCCAAGTACTTATACAAAGTGCCCACAGACAGGCTGATTAAAAGGCGCTCCTTAGCAAACTGTCCAACAACAAATCACCTGATGTGCATCTATACCTGAACAGACTGTCACAATGCTATAAAAGTAAGGGTGACTCCACTTTACTCACCCTAAGGGGGTTCCAGTCTTTGAAGTATTCTTTCACCAGAGGATAGACAAGAGCCACGGCCAGGTCAGACTTCTCAGACAGCTTGTACTCCTCATAGTATTTGTCCTGCAGCATCTGGAAAACACGCGCGCATTCGTCCAGCGTGAGCGGATTTTCGCAGCCAGGCTGCAGCCTCTGTTCGCACTCCTCCACAGTCTTCAGGACCTGGCTCAGATTATGAATGGACTTCTCTTCCCTCCCCAGCACCTCCGACAGCTTCTCCAGTTCATGGGTCAGGTTCACCACCATGTCTTTCTCGTACTGTAGCTGCCGGTCGTTCTGGATGATCTCCTGCTCCGTCATGTCAATCAGCAGCTGAAGATTGTGCTCTAGTTCTGGCAGAACAAACCCTTGCGGCTTCTCCTCCTTCCCTCCTGGTGCTGTGCTGTCCCCTGGGATGTCGTGCTTGTGCGAGAACTGACTGTAGCTGTAGTAAACTTTTTGCTCCCGTCCGGTCATATCAATTACCTGAAGGACAAAGAAAGACAGAGTTGGTATGCTCCAATGACAGCTGTGATATCCACCTGCGGTCAAATATCCGGAGGTCAAACCTAGAACACTTGTGGGTCAATTTTATCTTAATATATTTTCTTAACGTTTACAAGTTTTTTTAAATACTTATATTTGATGTCTGTTATTTTCAGTATGTATACCGTCTTGTTCCTCCTCCCTCCATTGACCTAAACACAATTCCTCATGCAACCCCTTGGACCACACAAAGGCAAAAGGGTACTTGCAGGAGGGACTGACTCTATAGGACTCTATAGGACTCTATAGGACTCTATAGGACTCTATAGGACTCTATAGGACTCTATAGGACTCTTCTTCATTTCCATGCTGGCTGCTACAAAAAAAAAAGTTATGCAAGGAAGTAAAAAAGGGTGCAGAGGAGCTGGGCTAACACAGAAGATGAGGGTGCTGTGAGGCGCAAGAAGGGAAGAAACTGTGCTAGGAAATCTACTGTTCTTGGAGTAGTCAAATGTTTAAGCAAGTTCAAAGGCACAGTTGAAGTGAATACAAATAATTTATGGAAATGAAAAATGCTGCAAGTATGCACTTAAATTACCGTATTTTGCGCTCCATAAGGCGTACCCGACCATAGGACGCAGGGAGGGTAGGGATCTGTGACAGCTGCAGTTAGTGACAGTTGACACAGGTGGCGCTGTGATTACAGCGGCATGGTCTCAGTGATCACACACAGCAGACAAGGAATGGACGTTCGTCTGCTCTCCGGGCTCTATGGTGAGCTCCTATGCCGTGGTCACGGGTCCCCCAGAGGAGCGGGGGACCCTGAAAACCACGGCAAGTTTTGTGCGTCTTATGGAGCAAAAAATACGGTACTTTTTTGTGTGTGCTTTTACCTGAAATTTTGTTAGTTGGTGACAGGGTCTCTTTAAGGAAAGTTGTCAGGCAAATATCACTAGGACCCACAAAATGCCGATGGTACCTCCGAGACCCCTAAACCCTGATATCTTACTGTATAAAAATGTCCACCTTCTGGAAACCCACACTGCGCAAGTTATCCACCAATATTTACTAAGCACATCTATTTAGAAGAACGAACCTTGACTTGAGATATTTCTTTGTGGGGAGTGGCGATGACTTTTCCCCCTTTCCCTTTGGCTTTCAGCTCTTCCACAGTCTTGTAGGTATACTTCAGCTTCTTCTTGACTCCACCGGGTTCTTTCCTCCACTGACTTAGCTCTTTCCGGAATTCCTGAATAGGGGACACAGAAATGAGTGTTCACAAGTCCCTTACAATCCTTAAGATTAAAAAAAAAAAATGCTGGTTACTGTCAAGGTTGAAAAACCACAGTGCCAAATATTTCAGGCCCCTTCTTAAACTACATGTTACAAGTTTGTCCTGGGACTATATCAGCACATGTATTTTTACCATTTAAAATAAATTCACTATTTTTTTAAATTATTTTAAATGTCATTCCTTTTTCAGTTATCAGACTTTATACTCTGTACCCTGGACAGGTATGCTGTGCGTTTTGCCCTATGGGGTGGGGGCTTATTTGAGGAATCTGTGTCTAGGCAATTAATTCATCTCACATGGAGCAAGGTATGACTAACAGGAATACTATAAATGCCAGTTTCAGCAAGAAAGCCCTGATGTGCTAAATACATACGTGATCAGGGGCAGGGACTAAAAATATTAAAACAAGATAAACATGACAACCAGGCACTTAGGTGGCTATTCCTCACCTCTCCTTCCGAAAATTCCATTATTATAATACAGGATTTATATAGAGCCAACAGTTTGCGCAGCGCCTACATACTTCTCACATGCATTTCCTATAATGTGAAATTTGGCATGGAAGCACTGTGGGGCAGATAGGACAGACGGTAAGATATGACATCTCCCACACTTCTCATATATGTACATCATGACCGTACAATATTTTGCACCAAATGCAAGGGGGTGAAACTCATCTAGAAGGGGCAGGATAAGAGGTCAAATATTACAGTTCTCACCCTTGTCTCATATGATAGGACAGAAGGTGGTAAAAAAAAAGTCAGCCCTTGCACTATATGTATTAGAGGTGCACCAAAATGAAAATGTCAAAACTGAAATAAAATAAAAAAAAATGTCAGGCCAAAACCGAAAATGTTTTATTTAAAAAAAAAAAAAAAGGAAGTGGAGAAACGCTTCTCTAAACGAATGCAGAAACTACAGATTTTCCTAACGCAACACTGACTTTTCTTAGGGGTTATCATAAAGGCTTACCCTCCCATTTAAAAATCAATCTGATAAAGGACATAGTGACACAAACAGCTATTGCTCCAGAAAAAAAAAAGAACTATGAAAAATGCCAAAATGTTTACCAAGTCTTTGCAATGTATATCGTTCACTTGGAGGGGATTTTATTTTTGGCAACAGAAGTAGAATGACATTTACACTATACACAATATCAGTAATGGCTGCATCATGTTTCCAACAGCATCCATACTTATGCCTAGTTATGCCTCCATACTTCTACATACATGCCCCGATATACTAGGTACGAGTACCGTTTTTTTTTTTCCAGGTACTCGCCGATACCGGAAATCCTGAGTGACATGGAACGACACGCCACCTGGTTTCCTGTTTAGCCGGGAAGCCGAGCGGCGTGTAAAGACTCAACACCTGGGTTCCTGATTAGCAGGGAAGCCGTCCCCCATGCTTCTCGTCACTAGACGACGAGAAAGCATGAAGCCGACTTCCTGATTGGTCGGGAAGCCGGCACTATGCTCCGTCGTCATGAGGTGATGAGGGAGCATGAAGCCAGATTTACGGCCAATCAGAGAGCGGGGTGCCACATCTTTACACGGCGCACAGCGTTCCGATTGGCCAGCTTCCCGACCAGGAAACCGAGCAGCGAGTCATTAGACGCTGCCCGGGTTCTTGATTTTGCAAGTGACGATTCCACAAGTGACGAGGGAGCATGGAGCCGGCTTCCTGGCCAATCAGGAAGCCGAGCAGTGTGTAATGACTTGCTGCCCGGCTTCCTGATACCGGAAGTATCGGGCTAGGCATCGGAGCATTTGGGTGAGTACGAGTACTCGCCCAAATACACGGTATCGGTACCAATACTAGTATCGGTGCATCCCTACTATATACTAATAGGTTGTGTTCGAGAGGCATGTTGAGAAATGTAGTTGCAGTGATGCTGCAGAGACTAGGTAGGGGCTAATGCTTCCAATGTACCTGTTGTAAGCATATGCCCCTAAGTTCTCCTATTGAATGGCTAAGAGTCAGTCCAGCAGCTGTTCAAAGTCACATATCGGCTAATTTTAGGATCCAAAAAGGGAACACACAGAAAAGGTTTTAAGGAAAAGAATGTGCCAATAGGCATGGCAAAATCTATAGTTGAAAATGATCTGTTCATATTATTGTGCCGATAGAGTTACTTTAACTCACCTCCTCTTCGTCCTCCTCAGAATCCACAACAGGAAAATCCTGCAGTGACTGTTTCGTTCTCTCCGATCCATAAGCACCCACCGCACCTTTGCCTTTTCTTTGCTTGGCCTCAATAGGTGCAATGATACCTGGGTAAAGACAGAGCGGACTTGAGATTGCTGTATTTTTATACCGGCACAGAGGTATAGCACACACATGGATAATTGGCCTTTAACTTTACCAATTATACCAATTTTATAACCAACATTTGTATAATGACACAAGACATTTATAAATATAACCACATTTTATTTTCACTTTTGAAACAGAAGCCAATATGCAAACTGGCTGATTTCCTAAACCAAATACTCCGATCAACCTGTAAAAATAAAGCATTCATAAAACTGAACTCTGGGCACTAGAACTTTCATTTAGATATATCCCCCATTAACTTTATAGAACATAAATCTACATTTTGTGCACCAAATGCTTTTACAAACCCAAGGAGTACCATGTAAAAGTAGTGGTGACATGATCACTAGGCTGCACATAGCTTGTGCAAAGAACAGAGCTGTGGAAGGGACCCAGCAGGTCCTCCCACTACAGGCTGCCTGCAGAAAACTACGGGAGGGGACGGAGACAAGACCAGTCACCCTGAAGAAGAAGAAGAGAGAGGAGCAGTGACCGGTATTTAATACAGGAAGGGGCGGAGACAAGACCAGTCACCCTGCACAAGAAGAGAGAGCCGCAGTGACCGGTCTTTATTACAGGAAGGGGCGGAGACAAGACCAGTCACCCTGCACAAGAAGAGAGAGCCGCAGTGACCGGCCTTTATTACAGGAAGGGGCGAAGACAAGACCAGTCACCCTGCACAAGAAGAGAGGCGCAGTGACCGGTCTTTATTACAGGAGGGGGCGGAGACAAGACCAGTCACCCTGTACAAGGAGAGAGAGGCGCAGTGACCGGTCTTTATTACAGGAGGGGGGCGGAGACAAGACCAGTTACCCTGCACAAGGAGAGAGAGGAGCAGTGAGCGATCTTTATTACAGGAAGCTCCTGCACAGAGGCAAAGTGCAAAAACTGTTTTATACTGGATTTCTTCACAGATCTGGCAGAAAAGCCCATAAGACACCATCATGCAAGTAGGACTACACATCCCTCTAGTAGACAGACAACATTTGTGTGTAAGCAGAGGTCATCCAGAGAAAATTACATAGGTATAGGCAAACGAAGTTATAAAAAAGATTGGCCCTTCCTGTTTCCCAAACCATCATATTGCTTATCCTTGTGATAAAGAAAAATAATTCTTATATGTGTACTAATGACTAAATTACAATACTAGGTGCTTAATATTGTCACCTCCCTTGCTGTAATACAATACAGCAAGGCATTTCAGAGTATGGGTTGTGGTTAAACAGACAAGGTGTTCCAAAATAACAAAAATTCAGATATTTGGTAATCATTATAGGGGTTACCTGTGCAAACTCCAAGCGAATGTGTTCAAATGTTATATTTTGAGAGGTCTTACATGGTCGCTGTCCCAAGGCCTGTGTTACTGTGAAGACGCTAGGTCTTGGCACACGTACTATGTCTGACCTCCACGACACTTGATTTTACTTTATTAGGCCCCATTCACACAGTGATTTCAGCTCACAAATCGCTGAAATATCAGCTCAATGTCGCTTGTCCAATGCATTTCAATGGAGCTGTTCACATCTTACCACTCAATGTCGCCTGAACATGACCTATTTTTCGGCGACTGTCGCGCGATTTGGCCCCAATAGACTCAATGGTGTCGCTCATTATCGGCAATATCGCGCTACAGAAGTATCACTTTTGCACAGCAATATCGAAGGAAGGAATGATGTCACATCAAGACCGCTTTTGATTGGTTACAGCGACGAAGTCCTCCCTAAAAGTCGCACTACGTAGCGCAACAAAATGTGCACTGTCGCGCAATACCGCTCAGCTCGAAATCGCGCTATATGTCGTGTCGCTCAGTGTGAATGGGCTCCAACTCTTCTCTTCTAAATGGGCTTTCAAAACCAGTCACCACGAGCTTATGGGCTATGGTTTTGCTTATCACTTGTGATGGGAGACCTCACTATTCAATAGGAAGGCTTGGGAGATACAAAACTAAGCTCACGTTTTTCTTTAAGCAGGAAAAGTGCAAATAACCTCATTCTGAATTGCCCAGGTTTGGGACAGTATGACTTTTAACAATGAAAAAAGAAACTGCAAGCTAATACACCTTTGCCAAGTTCATAGTTATTGAGCATAATGGGAAATGATTTGGAGGTTGGAAGTACCTTGAGCATTCTTCCCCAGGCCTCTGCCAGCTACATAACCCATCTTCTGAAGGAGTTTCTGACCAATCCCCTTGGTGTGCCTCTCCCAGGAACCAAAATCAGTATTTGACTTTATCCCTCCAGCAAATGTTTTCTGGGTTGGCTTAAAATTTCCCCCCTGAAACATAAAAACACATTAGTAATGTTATTAGTCATTAATGTTATGTGGCCAAGTCATTCTGCAAATCTAAGGATAACTTTACAAAAGCAAATTGACCCTTTACATTTCATTCCAGCAACTCAAAGCAGGTTTTTTTTAAGGGAGACAGAAAAATGGGATCATAAAATATTAAAGTGTCACTAAACTCAGGGGATATATCTTAAAAATGCATTCCAGTACCTGAACTATTAACAAAAAATGCCACTTATTTGTGTATCACTCGGCTGTAGATCCTCCAATCATCTCTGAATTGGTGCTGACACTGTCCTTCCTTCTGGAGGGAGCTACTTGTGTTTCCCATGGTCTTTGTGTGTGTTGTAAAGTAGTCTTTACAGTAGTGTGATGGACTACAATCTCAGGTTTAGTTTACTAGGTATTAAAAGTGTAGGTAATCAGGGGAGCGAGCTTGGAGCAGTGGCCCTGCTATGGATTTTAATGCTGGTTGGTAATTGTAAAATGTGGCACAGTTATATTTACAAATCGGTGACAAGCAAGACAACATAACTTTACCGTTCGCAGCTTCTTTGGTTCAAAATCCTTTGGGATTTCTTCTCTCTTGGCTGGGATTTCATCTTCCGAATCGCTATTGGATTCCTCTTCGGCCGCAGGCTTACGGATTCCCGCACTGATAAAATTTACAGGGGCTGTATAGTCGCGGGACCTGACGGAATAGAAATAAAAAGAAATGTGGCAGCCTGATGTTTTGTACACATCTTGCATATAGCAGCATTCACTGTGTATCCCATGCAGTGCTGTAACAGGCCGTTATACATGATGTGCTTCCAGCTTAGTAGCAAAGCAATTGTGCCACCCTCTAGATGTGCACTGCAATTAACTTTAAAAGTTAAGTGTTTTTCCCCATAGTTCTCTTAAGGGTCACAGGAGGACATATACTAGCATCCTCCCGTGACCCAGAGCTCAGTATATAGTGAGCTACAGCTCGTGGTATACCGAGACCGCCGCAGCCGGGACGGATCCCGACAATGCTGTCGAGATCCACCCAGCTGCATGAATGACATCTGGCTCTGCCTATCTAGAGGCAGAGCCAGCTGTACCTGTCCCCGTCCCTTCCTCCAGTCAGCGCTGGATGATCGGAGAGGGTAGGGGGAATCCCTGCAGGGAGCGGTGACTGGCAGTCACCGATCCCTGCAGGTAGATGATCGAGAAGTGAGCGAGCGATGGTATGTGTTCACTCACTTCCCGATCTATTGAGCCGACCTATGACCGTTTCATTGTCACACGTCGGCTCGAATTTTGAGGATGAGCGATTTTCACTCACCTCATAGATCTCCTTTAAGGGATCATTCACACCAGCCTGCGTGCTAGTGTGTTCTGTAGGAGGGGGGCACTGTGTTGTTACAACACATCGCATGGTTTACTTTTTTCCCCCCCCTTTTCTTTTAACTTTATTAAACTGTCAAATAATGACACTGCTTTTAACTTCATGGGAAGATTTGTGTACCCCACTGTTTTTGATGTCCTGTGCCAAAAAACTACCACTCATTTGCATATAGCAGCATTCACTGCATGTCACATCACATGCACTGCTGTGACAGGCCGTGAAGTGGTGTGCTGTACTGTATGAAAATTCAACATGTTGCATTTGTACGCAAGGCAAATGTTATGGTGTGTACAGGGCACATAGGAAACAATTGATTTTTATATGCCCTTGTGCGGTGCCTGCGTTAATTCATGCAGATCAGTGTAGATCAATGGACATGGTATGACAAACATGTACAGCAGAGGTGGGCAACTCCAGCTCATTTGGAATTACAAGTCCAATGAGGCACTGCAAGACTTACAGTTACAGTCATGACTCCCAGAGGCCACTGCCAGTGCAGGTGGAGGGCCGGAGTTGCCCACTCCTGATCTACAGTGTGCTACCGTGTGTTCTAGTGTGAACGAGCCCTAGCTCTACTGGGAAGCTCAAGCTGGTGAAAAAAAATACAGTTTGCAGGAAACTTCTCCTGTGATTAATTTGATCTCAATGGATGTTCTGCAGTGCTAACCGCATTGGCCGGCATGCAAATGAGGGAGAATCTAAACAAGTAAATACGGAATGGAGGCTCTTTCCTTATCCTGTGCCCATCTAAACAACAACGGTTTGGCTGCGTTTCCACTTTAGATAAACCCAAATCCCTCCCACTTCTGTACACTTACTTCTTGCCACCAAAGCTGGGCCTCTCATCATCAGAGTCGTGCTCCGCCCAGATGCCATAGGTGGCTTCCTCCTTGGTCTGCCAATGCCGCCGTCGGTTGGGATTGAATTCATTCTGCAGGTCCCAATCGGTGATTTCAAATTTTTCTATATCCACCCCATCGGTGTTGTCATCCTTCCCGTACAGGTGTGACATAGACATGGTGACCTGAAAGATGTAATAACCACGCGGCAAACGTTACAGGTCAGGCAAGTATTTCAAAGGACAGTACAATGATAAGCCAAGTAACAGGTAGAGTCTAAATGGGTTAGGTCATTGCTGGCTTCTGATATCTCCTCCCTAGAGCGATGAAGTGCGCGTCAGTGCACCGGAGGAGAGCGATGTAGTGCGCGTTGGTGCACCGGAGGAGAGCGGTGAAGTGGGTGTCGGTGCCATGGGGAGAGAGCAGTGAAGTGAGTGTCGGTGCCCCGGGGGGAGAGCTCTGAATTGGGTGTCAGTGCCATGGGGAGAGAGCAGTGAAGTGAGTGTCGGTGCACCGGAGGAGAGCGATGAAGTGGGTGTCAGTGCCCCGGGGGGAGAGCGGTGAATTGGGTGTCGGTGCCCCGGGGGGAGAGCGGTGAAGTGCGCGTCGGTGCACCGGGGGAGAGCCATAAGTGTGTGTCTGTGCCCCGGAGAAGAGCCATGAAGTACGTGTCGGTGTCCCGGAGGAGAGCCATTTAGTGTGCGTCGGTGGAGCAGGTGAAAGCAGAGTCACATTCTACATGAAGTCTGGAGCTCTCATATATACACACACACACGGGGGAATTTATCAAGACTGGAGCAGATTTGCATGGCAACCAATCAGCTTCTCTGTCTCATTTTCAAAACTTATCTGAGCAAACTGAAGAGAGATGATTGGCTGCCATGGGCAACTGTTATAGATTCTGTCTGCTCCAGTTTTGATAAATTCCCCCCACAGTTTACAATGATCACAGCCTTGTCCTATATAATCACAGAATTGTAGCTCCTGGCCGCCCATAGGGTGTCAGCACTTTAAAGCACACACGCCGCCGTCACCTCCCTAACAACTCTGACCTCTCCCCCTCTAGTAACTCTAATTCTTCTCAGAACACCACAACAAGCACATATATATAACACTGTTCCTCCTCACCTCTCCGGAAATCAGACTAGAGACACCCGGACGTGACGTCAGAAAGGGCAATATGAAAAGCCAATCTCTGCCTAAGCGCGGTGCCAGCCCGCTGCATGCTGGGAGTTGTAGTCTGGTCGGATGAAGAGGCCTGTCCGCCTTAGTGTAACCAGCGTGAGCTCCGAACTACACTTACCGAACGTACAGGTTTCTACTAGATCGTGAAAACTTTATTCATACAAGAACAAATGTTTCCGAACTCGATCAGTTTATTTAAACAGAGTGTTGTACGGCTGGCCAATTAGGAAGTGGAACTTGGCGCTAAGAAGGCAGGGGAGGCGCTAACAGGCTATGGGATAGAAATGGGGCACTGGAGCAAAGTGCACGAGCACGATGGGATTGGATTGATTCGTGATACATTGGAATTTGGGCCCGTTCGAAGCTGCTGGCTAATGCAGAAATGCACATTGATGTGCTGCGGTGTTATTCATTCGTACTGGCCCCACATGTACTTTGCAAATAGTCAATGAGGGGAATTCATCAAGACTAGAGCAGACAGAATCTGGAGCAGCTATCCTCTGTCTTTTGTTGCATGTTTTTACATTTAGTTTATTAATTTCTTTTAATATTCTTTTTACGTGGGGGGAGGGAGGGGTTTTGATCTGGGCTTTGGAGACCTGATTCAGACCCCCCACCCCCTAGCTCTGCAGCAACAAATCACTTTTAATAGTAATCTGCCCGCAATCAGCCATCAATAGGTCACTACAGCAATGATCTGATGCAGGGGAGGATGGACAGAGCTGCTTCAGACCTTTCCGTGCCGCCATTGTATCAGGAAGTGCCCGGAACTCATTTCACTTTTGTCTTCCAGGGTATCTATGGTCAGAAATAAATATCTCACATCTGTTCCAAGATTGAACCCCCTTCTCACACCAGTAAGACTACACATTACACCCCCTCCGCATATCTGTCCCGACACTACAGTACCCCCCCTTCTCACATCTGTCCCGACACTACACCCCCTTCTCACACCTGTCCCGACACTACACCCCCTCCTCACACCTGTCCCGACACTACACCCCCTTCTCACACCTGTCCAGACACTACACCCCCTTCTCACACCTGTCCTGACACTACCTTTAAGTAAGTACTGCTATTTTCACACATGCATATTTCATACATGTATAAAGTTCCTGTGGGACACTGCAGATCATTGTGCGCTTTCTTTTTAATTTTTTTGCCCTATAAATACCTTTTGATGATCATATTGTGTCTTTATGTTTCTTTCTGCACACGTACCGACTGTGTCAGTTGCAGAACCAGCTGAGTGAGAAACTGTAATTATTTTCATCCTGCGGGGAGGCGTGTGTGTGCCATAAATCTAATTGCAGCAATCTATTACTAAAATCATGTGTGACACCATTTCTAGGAATCTAGTACACAATCAGGAAACACTAAACCGGGTTAGACTGGAGCTACGTGCTTGCCTATAGACAGCCATCAGTTGATTGGCTGCTTTGGAACCAGTAAATCCGGCCATAGACTTTATTTTTTACAAACGTACATACACTAAAACCTCCCGAGACTATACGGTAATAGCATCAGAGACGTGACCAATGTCATTCCAAATTTCAGTTTATTTTAACATTCAATTTTGCAATGAATGGGGTTTCCTAAACGAAAACCACATTCACTGTTAGAATTGTGTTCATCACTGCGCTCAAAAACGGCTGTCAATTTGACCCCATACACTATTAAAAAAAAATGGGGCTTTAGTTGAGCACATTTGACTTCATTGGGAAGATTGATGTTTAGACACTATTGAGGGTAGTAGCTTGAGATATTTACACAATATGTATTGACCGATTGCGCAGCACGGAGCTGTACGCGCAGGCCGATTCGTGTGTGAATGGGGCCAAAGAGATGCAGGGACTCACTGTTGGATGGTGACGATGGTGATCCTATGGTGAAGGATGAGGCCCCGTTCACATATAGCGAATTGTCGCGCGATTTCCGCCGCGATATCGCGCATTTTTGCCGCGCGATATCGCGAGAAGTCGCCGGCCAATGTTATTCAATGGAGCTGTCTTAACTCCATGTCGCGCGTCGCTCGTCGCGGTCGCAAGTCGCTTCTACCGGACCCTTTTTTCGGCGGATTTTGCGCGATTTTACTTTTTTTCTATGGAGCCCGACGGGGAAGGTCGCGCTACCGTCGCTGGATCGTCGCTGGAACGTCGCCCCGAAAGTCGCGCTATCCCGGCCGTGCGGATCCGCTGCAAAAGGTATGTCGCTATATGTGAACGGGGCCTGAGGGGTGTGCGTAGCATCAATGAAGACGTAAAAATATTCATCATCCATGTGGAGTCATGACTGAAATGGGGTTGCGTTTGAAGGAGTATCTGATGATCCACAGGGTATGTCTATGGGAGGTTTGCGATCCTCGTTGGATGCTAAGTCAATGCTAAAGCCTGATGAAGGGACCCTGTGGGGTCCCGAAAGCGCTTGTTTGGTCATATGACAAAAAACTTCAATAGATGAAGCTTTTGCTATCTTAAAAGGATTGGTGTGCTGGTGACATTTCTACAATTGCTGACATTCGCAGCGCCATCCGCGGTCACTGCGAGCACCCCCCACTACAAGGGACATATCGGTAAGGAGTGCGACAAGGATAGTACTTATCCTCGTTGGATGCTGTCCCCGATGTAACAACAAACAAACTGTGACACAAAGAAACAAAAATAAAAAGTAACACGCGCTCAGCTGGCCAGACTGAGCCGTGGCGGCTAAACAGGGAGCATTCGTGCCGACAGGCACTTCCAGTAGAAAAGTGTCTAGCAAGGGGCGGAGCAACTATGAAGAAGGTGGTCACAGAAGGTGTAGAATGGGGTAAGTACACCGGACGGCTGCAGAACGTCCTATCCTTCCCCCATCGTATTTCCACCAATCACATAGCCACACAGCTGGTTACTCGCCCAGCTGTCAGATTTAAAAGCCGCCTTCTTTCCCGCCATCCCTTCTGCACATTTACCCAGGCTTGATAGAGGCAGAGCCTCGAAACGCGTAGCCGTCTGGAGTACTCACACACGCGGCATATACAAAAGGGAATCCCCTTTCCATAAGAAATTTATTTTATATCTTAGCCATTCTGTCACTTATCTGACATTCCCCTAACACCCCCCAAATGTTTTTATTTGGAATCAGGAACAGTTATCCTTTGTGTCGGGTTTACATTTTTGTCTGTGGTCCCACTGGGAAGAGTCTCCCTTACTTTCTGTCCCTGTGACCCCAAAACAAGAAATGGTGGGATTGGTCATCACTAGCAGGTTTGGTCCAAACTTGGAAGAATGCTCCTTCCGCTGCCGCCCAATCAGCTGCAGCCAAGGAATTCCCCGCCCACAGCTGAATGTATTAAAAGGGACGGATCATGTGACATCATTGATCTTATATGGCCACATAGCTGGATTAGGTCAATGACCAAATATGGCCACGTGGCCATATAAGGTCAATGATGGCAGCACAAGCTTACCGCCCCTTTGTTTACGTGCGGCTGCGGAGGGGCCCCGCGGCTGATTGGACGGGTGGCCTCATGTGCCATGTCCTGGGTTTTGGAGGTTCGGACTGGGTTTGGCTTACCATACCCGTTACAATCTGACCGTGCAATCTCTGTACAATCTCCTTTACATCAACCTACTAAAACTATCCATTCAATCTGTATCCAGTCAGGCAGGCCCTTGCACTACACACTGCTGGAGATTGTACAATCATATTGTAACGTGTGTGAGCCTAAAGGAGATTGTACAAGCAGATTGTATGGCCAGTTAGATGCAGACACACACACTGCTTATCTTATGTTAATCATGCCATACGCTTGTGTGTTTTGCATACCTGAGCAGGAGGGAGGAGGCAGAGTCACTCCTTGCATATAAAGATGAGGCATCTGTGTCCTAACTCACTTGGCATCATGGCTGGAAGGTGCACTTACACCCCGCATCCGCAGAAAATCGAGCAGGAGACCCATGGAGCAGAGGTAACCACACACAGCGTCACCGGGGATTAGAAATACATTCATCTTATGACACATTTAGGGGGGAATGGAGGGGTTCAATGCAAAGATGAGTCCTGTAACCCATAGCAACTAATCAGTGCTTGTCAGCAGGCACAGCAGAGGGAGTTGGTAGCTATGGGTTATCATTGTTACATAGTTACATAGTATTTGAGGTTGAATAAAGACATTAGTCCATCAAGTTGGGGGGGATTTATCAAGACTGGAGTAGACAGAATTTGGAGCAGTTGCCCATTGCAACCAATCAGCATCTCTCTTCAGTTTGTTCAGTTATGCTTTGGAAATGAAAGAGAGAGAGGCTGATTGGTTGCCAGGGGCAACTGCTCCAGATTTCATCTGCTCCGGTTTTGATAAATTCCCCCAATGAGGGGAATTTATTGAAACTGGCGCAGGCAGAATCTGGAGCAGTTGCACATGGCATCCAGTCAGCATCTCTCTTTCATTTTCAAAGCTTAACGGAACCCACTGAAGATAAAAGCTGATTGGTCGCCATGGTTTTTGATAAATTCCCCTCAATGAGGGAAATTTACTAAGACTGGAGCAGGCAAAATCAGGGGCAGCTGCGCATGGCAACCAATCTGCTGCTAGCTTTCATTTTCCAGGCTTAACAGTGGCATTACAAGGGGGGTACGGCCTGCAGCGGGTGACACCATCAGAGGGGGTGACATCAAAATGACTGGCAGTCATTTTGGTGTCACCCTCTCAAAAAAGTCGGGCACTCGGTCATGGACAGAGAGAGGAGGGGACCGGGAGAGTACCTTATCCTGTCCCTTCCTCGCTTTGCCGGCATCCATCACCACGATGGCTGCCGGCAGTTAAATGCGTGTGAATTAATTACATGCGCGTGTAATGCCTTCACGTGTGTGCGTAATGATGTGACACCTGACGGCTGCACCAGGGGACTCCTCTGAAGCTTAACCAAACAAACTGGACAGAGAAGCTGATTGGTTACTATGGGCACCTGCTCTAAAGTCTACCTGCTCCAGTTTTACTAGATTCCCCCCATAGTGACGGGGTGCAAAGGGCAGTTTCCCATAGCAACCGCCCCAAATTCTATTAGCTGCAAACAGATCAAGAAACACTTGGTTGCTACTGGCTACTGCCGGCCTTATAAATCTCATGCACTGCTCTTTGCTTTATTAAAAATACTTGTGTTCCTTATTAGTGAATCTGACCTGTTTGATAAGGGCCCGTACACACCAAAATGGGGCACAATGTGGCACATGCATTTTCGTGTGTTAGGTAGCCCACAGGAAAAAAAAATAGGTGCTGTTGGCATTCTATTGCAATTCATGATGAGATCACCAATTCACTTAACATACCTGGTGTTAAAAGGCCCCAAAATTGATTAGATCAGGCAACCTCGGCACTAAGTCCCATGAGGCATTGCAAAACTCTGATAGCAACAAACATGACTTCCAGAGGCCTAGGCATGATGGAATTTGTAGTTTCACTACAGCTGGTGTGCCGAGATTGCCTACCATTGCATTGGACCAGGGATGGGCAACTCTGGTAAAGCTGTGCTTTAACTACAAAATCCCAACATGGCTCTGCCTCTGGGAATCATGCCGGTAACTGTCAGTCTTCCAATGCCTCATTGTACTTGTAGTTCCACAACAGCTGGAGGACCGGAGCTTGCCTACCCCCGCATTGGACTAACAGTACTCTGCAAAAGCTTTGTGCTCCTTTCAAGTATATACACTATCGGGGGCGTGGCCTGACGCCGGAGGAGATGGCCGCATAGAAGAGAGGCTCTGAAGCCCCAGCGCAAAACTAGCGACATCCCCAGCGACTGAGCACCAGCATTCGGACCCCACAAGTATAAACACTATCCATCCATTTTTGTTTGGCTAGAATGCACTATACAGGGGGTGCCTTGTGTCCAATCTAGAGTTGCCACCTGTCCAGGATTCACCCTGAAACAGTTCGGGTTTTGAATGCTGTGTCCCGGTTTCATGGCAGCAGAAACCCGGACACAAGATATCGGGCAGACGGGCAACCAAAATTAAGATGGGGCTACTGGCCCCCCACTGAAATTAGTCTCAACTGTGATATTTACATATGAATAAGCCAAAACTAATTCTCCCCAAAAAATTTCTGCACGTCACTTGAGTGTTCGGGTTTCCCTTGAAGAAAAGGTGGCAACCCTAGTACAATCTGAAGTTAAGACTCATCCACTCCTATCTCCACTGGCTGTTGAGGGCCTGTGTCATATCAGAGTATGGTATTGAGCTGTTAGTGGGAGGGACTTAGCTATGCATGGGCGGGGCAGACTTTCAGGGTCACGTGTTCAGTGTCTGCCACGGATCTGGCGGCTCCCTGGCCACGTACAAATGATTGAAGACGTAAAAACGTAACCGGACGCCCTTTGCTAATTGGGTCATTTGTACCAGACTGACAGCCAGGGCCGACCCCATAATGAGGCAGGCTGAGGTGGCATCTCATTGTAGGGGGGCATCAGGGGCAGCTACAGCATCCATGGTTGCTAAGAGCTTTGGCCTCCCGCCCGGCTCAGAGAGCTGAGTGGGATGCTCTGGATGGGGCTACTGGCAACCAGTGACAGGACGTGGGAGATACCGCCGCATATGCCTGGAGAACCAGCAGCAGCACCCCTCTCAAGCAGAAGCACACAAACTCCGGCTCCCTGGCCACGTACAAATGATTGAAGACGTAAAAACGTAACCGGACGCCCTTTGCTAATTGGGTCATTTGTACCAGACTGACAGCCAGGGCCGACCCCATAATGAGGCAGGCTGAGGTGGCATCTCATTGTAGGGGGGCATCAGGGGCAGCTACAGCATCCATGGTTGCTATCCCCCCCTCCAATATGGCATGAAAGGGTAGGGATGGCCGTGTTGACAGGTCCACTTTAACCCTACCATGTCACCAAGTGTGACATTAGCATAATAATGAGCCGTGGTGGATGTTTGACTTCCTGAAGTGCAAACATTACAACTCGTATATTAAAAAGGGAGTAGTCAGCCGGAGATTATAGTAATTTAAATCATTTATAGCACTTTGCAGTCCTCAGACAGATCTGTCACTCCACCCATACTTAGAATTCGAGGTGACGAGACGGGAAAAGATTTGTAGCACGTCCAGAAAAATATTTACTGCTGTGAGAAATACGGAGGAGTCCACTGCTGACCTTCTTCAGGAAATGCTAATCATCTGGCCGTCCCTGAGACAATGACCCGGTGTTCTATCAAAGATTGTGACGGGGTTGGAATGTGTGACCGCATCTGCTCCCCCACGACGCGTTTCATACGCAAAAACAGGCTTCATTGGCTTCCTTTTGCAATGCTTTGGAGTCATAGACCTGGATGAGATTAAATTTCCACAGGCACCTGTGTCAAGCATCGCGTTAAGGGGTAGCCTTTGTTGATCCCACTGTAGAATCAATTCAAGTTTGCAGTAGTTAGTCGCCTGTGGATTAGTGGTTAATACTTTTGAGGAGGGACAACTCTCACCCGGAGCTCTTCTCTTGAGGAGTGGACAAGACTCTACAGCATGATCCTTTTCACCGCAGTACCTGCAAAGCTGTAGATTCCTCCTGCGAGTCCTCTCGGCCTGCGAGAGAGGCCCTCTGAGTGTTCCGATGTCCATCGGGACTGCATCCTCATGGACCGGGGTTTTCTGGGGGGAGAGCGGAGTTCCCGTGGCTTTCTCTGCCCTCCTTTCCCTCATGCGTCTGTCTATAGATATGGACAACTTTATGAGAGCTTCCAGAGAGAAGGGAAGCTCCGTTCGGGCCAATTCATCCTTCACTGACTCAGCTAAACCCAACCGGAATTGGTTGCGTAAGCTAATGTCATTCCATTCAGATTCCGTCGCCCAACGCTTAAATTCAGCAATATAATCCTCCACGGGTTTTTTGCCTTGTTTAAGAGAGCGTAGGGCTGACTCCGCGGAAATCTGCTTGCAGGGGTCATCGTATAACAAAGACATGGCCTCGCAGAATCCACTGAAGGAATTCAAGATTGGGTCTTCCTTCTCGAGGAAGGTGTTGGCCCACGCGCGCGGTTCACCCCTCATGTAAGAAATGGTGGTGCATACCTTGATCTTATCGGTACCGTATGTTCTAGGGTTTAGATTGAACATCAATCTGTTGCGTGTCCGTGACGTCACGCGGGTGAGCCGCCGGGAGCCGTTACAGATATGCAGATCACGAGCTCTGACTCTCCTTCTTGTCCCGGTGTTCTATCAAAGTTTGTGACTGCGTTAGAATGTGTGACCAGTGATGTGGTCACGCATTTTAACCTAATCCCACCCAGTTTTTCGGCGGTGGAATGCATGACCGGTTACACATTTTAACGTAGTCACGAGTCGGGAAGCCGACTCTTTGCTGATTGGCTGGGAAACTGGCTTCCTGGCTAATCAGCATTGAGCGGGCCGAACAGCCTGCTCCCTGCTAATTGGCTGGGAAGCCGGATTTCTGGCCAATCAGCATCGAGCTGGCCGAACAGCTGGCTCGATGCTGATTGGCTAGGAAGCCGGCTTTCCAGCCATTCATCAAGGAGCTGGCTTCCCGGTCAATCAGGAAGTCGAGTTGCGGGTCATTAATCGCCCCCGGCATCCTGGTTGGCCAGGAAGCTGGCTCGATGCTGGAAGCCGACTCTTTGCTGATTGGCTGGGAAACCGGTTTCCTGGCTAATCAGCATTGAGCGGGCCGAACAGCCTGCTCCCTGCTAATTGGCTGGAAAGCCGGCTTTCAGCACGAGCTGGCTTCCTGGCCAATCATGAAGCCGGGAGGCGGGTCATTTCTCCCCCCCGGCATCTTGGTTGGCTGGGAAGCCAGCTCGTTGCTGATTGACTGGAAAGCCGATTTCCAGGCCAAACAATATAGAGCCGGCTTCCCGTGCAATCAGGAAGCCGGTTGGCATGTCATTACCGCTACCCGGCTTCCTGTTTGCCCGGGTAGCGGGTAATGACAGCAGAACCACCAGCATCGGTATTCGCGAGTATGGAAAGCAAAATATCGGTACTCGTGCTCGATACGGAAAAACTGGTATTGGTGAATCCCTACTTTTTTTTTCCTTTTCAGTTTGTACGTAACGTAATACTGCATTTTGGCCACTAGATGGAGCGGAGGAGCATAGAAAATACATATTTATTACAAACATAATATAAGTATTTATTACAAAAACAAATCAGGGCAAAGTACACAGGGTTCTGAAGAGAGAAGATGGACATTTTATAAAGGACAGACATGTTTAGACGTTGGACGTAGGACTAGATGAGTGGGCAGTGACTGATTGTGGCCAAAGTCCCTGAGAAGGAGGTAAGGCTTGGAATTCTATTTGGGCAATCAAATCTTCCTGCTGCTGAGAGATGGAATCTGTCATCTGTAGCATGCTGACATTACTAATGAAATAATTGTCAAGCAGTTTAATATCTCTGTAGATTATGTGATTTAATTGCCAGCATCCCTAGGCTTAGGGTGGGGGAGTGAATAACACACCCTACAAGGTCTGCAAGCCTTGCAAACATTCCAGGTTAAGGAAATTGGCTCTGCTCGGCAATGAACTCCAAACTCTAGGAGAAATTCCCGGCTTTGCCCCCACTTTGAAAACAAATGTTATGAACCATCCCACAAACCTGCTACACACGCAGAAGCAACCCCCCCCACCCCTTCCAGCCACAAGACAGGACAGGGAAGTATGTGTTATAATACTTTTGGGTCTATTTATAAGCAATTCGCAGGGCCCTTTGCCCTGCAAATAAATATGAATGGTCATTTTGGGTGAATATTGCCAAAAATGAAGGATCTTGATATATTTTTTCCCCAGTTCGATTGTAGTGTATTGTGATAATACATTATGGCCACTAGATGGAACTGAGGAGCATAGGAAATAACTATTTTATATTATGTGCCCTTCAGCTCCATCTAGTGGCCATAATGTATTATTAAGACACACTACATTCAAAATTGGAAACAAATATATTAAGAACATTCATTTTTGGCTTTATTCACGAAAAAATAAAGTATACAGATATTCGCAGGGTGAAGGGCCCTGCAAATTGTTTAGGAATAGACCCCTTTTGTATTCTGTATTGGATCAGTGGTCTACTGGCTTTTGGATTGGAGGCTGCTGTCCAGAAAGAACTGCTCACAACAAGGGGGGCGTTGTTCAGTGAACCACCTATGGGCCACCATTATCCCTCTTCATTCCACTTGGGTAGGTAAATGCTCCGTAATTAATGCCAAAAATGAAGGTTCTTAATATATTTTTTCCCCATTCGATTGTAGTGTGTTGTGATAATACATTTTGGCCGCTAGAGGGAACTGAGGAGCATAGGAAATAAGTATTTTATATTATGTGCCCTTCAGCTCCATCTAGTGGCCATAATGTATTATTGCGATACACTACATTCAAACTTGGAAAAAAGTATATTAAGAACATTCACTTTTGGCATTATTCACCAAAAATGGAAATACGCAGGTATTCGCAGGATGAAGGGCCCTGCAAATTGTTTAGAAATAGACCCCTTTGTATTTTGTAGTGGATCAGTTTTCTACTGGCTTTTGGATATTCAGTGAACCACCTGTGGGCCACAGTTATCCCTCATCATCCCACTTGGGTAGGCACAGTGACCCCCAACTGAAGTCACACACCTTTTTTTTTACAGTCCTGTATCATCGTATGTTATGATTTTGAACTGATTTAGCATTGGATATGCCACAATTTACCTTCTTGCTCTCTCGCTCCAGTGCTCTAGGCTGACAATAGATGGATCATGGCCACACTTATTATTATACAGGATTTATATCGTGCCAACATTTTGCGCAGCACTTTACAATATAAGGAAAACATTACAATACAGGTGAAACTCGAATAATTAGAATATCGTGCAAAGTTCATTTATTTCACTAATGCAACTTAAAAGGTGAAACTAATATATGAGATAGACTCATTACATGCAAAGCAAGATAATTCAAGCCGTGATTTGTCATAATTGTGATGATTATGGCTTACAGCTCATGAAAACCCCAAGAACCCCAAATCCACAACCTCAAAAAAGTCGATTATTACATGCAATGAATAAAACAAGGATTGTACATAGAACAATATCGGACCTCTGAAAAGTACAAGCATGCATATGTACTCAGTACTTGGTTTGGGCCCCTTTTGCAGCACTTACTGCAATTACTTTTGCACAATATTCTAATTATTCGAGTTTCACCTGTACAATTCAAGACAAGATGGTAAGGAGGTCTCTGCCCTTGAGGGCTTACAATCTAAAAGGGAGGGGCCAGTGATACATGGGGAGGTAGCTGTGTGGGGATGAATTGTTTGAGAACATGATGGTTGAGCGGTTAGGTTGAGGTGGGATAGGCTTCCCTGAAGAGATGAGTCTTAAGGAATTGCCTAAAGGCAGTCAGAGTGGGAGATAGACGGACAGGTTGGGGTAGAGAGTTCCATAGGATGGGGGAGACTCTAGAGAAGTCCTGGAGGCGAGCATGGGAGGAGTTGATGAGGGAGCTGGAAAGCAGGAGGTCTTGTGAAGAGCTGAGGGGACGGTTAGGGTGATACTTTGAGACAAGGTTGGATTTATAGCCGGGGGCAGATATGTGGATGGCTTTGTAAGTGGTTTTTTGAATTTTAACCTTTGGGCTATTGGAAGCCAGTGGAGGGATCGGCAGAGGGGGTTGCAGACACTGAGCGGTTGGTTAGGTGAATGAGACTAGCACTTCTTATAACAAGTGTCCTCAATCACTCTTAAAGTGCACAGGTATTAGCGGGTCATGTCTGACTAAGGATTAGAGTTCAGTGGGCGTATTGGTCAAACTCTGGTGCCAATTGCACTACGTAGTCACATTCAGACCGGGATAACAAGGGGATGAAAATGCAGGTTGCTAATACAATGTCTGTCTGACCCAATATGTCAGTGTGTTGTGAAATCATATAATTCAAGGAAAGCGGCTCAATACACAGATACGGTACATAGGATTTGTATTTCTGTCCATCCAGTTCTGATACTCACACAGCCCTGTTTGGCAGGGCAGGAGACCTGAAGGAGAACCTGAAGTTAACCCTACGTATTCTACTATCTCTTTGCAGAAGAAGATGCTGACATCATCCGAAGGGGTTCCCATTGGGACCCTTGTAAGCTCACTAACCGTAGGACCCCGAGGGCCAATTCTCATGCAGGATGCGGTGCTAATGGAGGAAATGGGTCATTTTGTCAGAGAACGAATTCCGGAGAGGGTGGTGCATGCCCGTGGAGCTGGTGAGAATGCACACTTCGGACCTTGTATAGAGGCTTTGTGGCCCCCAGTGAGATTGTGTTTTTTAGGGCCTGTGTTGATGGGCTTGTGTTCACGTCAGATCTGCTTCTCTCCCCCGTACAAGTCAGTGGGATGCAAAAGCAGCTCAACCACTTGCCGTCTGGCTGTTGCTATTAAACAGCCGGCTGGCTCCCATTTGAATGCGGGTAGACGTGTTAAAACTTTAAATACATTTATAGCCGGCGATGGCTGTTTACATACAAGCGTTCGGGCGGTTATAGAGCCGTCCAATCGTTTGTATGGTGCTGGAGAAGTGTGTGGCCACCACTGCCACCTATCCCGTGCTCCGCTGTCCCCTGTGCGGGCCCGAGGCTGGCACGGCGGGTCTCTGAGCTGAAATTGGATTTAGATCAACACACTTCTTTCAGCTGATCTCCCCTCCAATCACTGAACCCGAAAGTGATGTGTATTCCGCTTTCAGTGTGTCATTTCTTCGGCTGCTGTAGGTGGAGAAGAAGCTGGTGAAGCACGATTGCTGATTCATTAGCTTATTGGAGGGTCCCTAGATGAAATTAGGTGTCTAATAGACCCCTGATGTCTCCATAAAGAGAACCTATGACTGTATCTGTGCTGTCACATAGGGGGCATGTTAGTTCCCTTTGTGATAGCAATAAAGTTAAGTGTAAAAAATAAAAAGTTTAGCCCCTTCATGACTGAGGCCTTTTTTTAAACTTTTTGCACCCATGTTATATTCCACATTTTTGGCCTGAAAATTACTTAAAACCCCCCAAAATTATATATTTTCTGAAAGCCAAGACCCTATAGATTAAAATGGTGGCAGTTGCAAATGTTTATGTTGCACGACATTAGCGCAACTCCTCATCAAACCCCAAGATTTAGTGAAAAATTTACTTAAATGCCCCAAAACACAACACAATACCCATTTTTTAAAATAAAATATAAAAGATGAGGTTACAAAGAGTAAACAGATACCCAACATGCCCGGGTTAAAAATTGTGTGCGTCCGTGAAACGGCGCCAAAATTCAGTACCCCAAAAAGTCCATAGACGACGCTTTAAAAGCCCCCGCAGGTCATCAGTTTAGAGATACCCAAAAATACTGGCCCTAGAATTATTGCTCTCACTCCGGCGGGCGCGGCGATACCTGACATGTGTATCACGTTTGTCGTTTTCATACGTAGGCGCAACCAACGCGTTTTTACGCGAAGAATCGCTTGCTCGCGTGGGACTTTAAAAAAAAATGTTAAATTCTTTTTAGATTAATTTTATTTTATGTTAATTTTAAAAACTGTTATTTATTTATATTTATTTTTTTACTTTAATTGCTATCACATAGGGGGGCTTTACAAGCCCCTCATGTGATAGCAGATGGTGGTGACAGGTACTCTTTAAGGTGATGCTGCGGGTCCAAAAGACTCCGACAGGTCTATTCACAGAAGGGTGAAGAGTTTGGAGCAGGCAGGATAAGTGAACAATCTAGGACAAAATAGCTGATTTGAAAAAATTCTCCAATTCAGCTCACTTTCCAGTTCAGCTATGTTGTCCTAGATTGTTCACTTCTCCGGCCTCCTCCAAACTCTTCACCCTTTTGTGAATAACCCTCTTATTAATGTCACCTTTACACTCCAAATAAGCTATTGAAGTGCAGATCGCACTTCAATAACTTATAGCTGGGCTTCAGGAGCCCGGCACTGGCAGCTATGGGACCGGAAGTGATACAATCTGCATCGCACCCGGTCCCATAGAACAGGAAGGGGATCGACGAACAGAGGTTTGTCCATCTCCTCCCCAGCTTCCCGCCGACACCAAACAAGCTGGTCCCGGGACCGTGGGAAGGGCAACGACACACCCCTTCACCGGCCCGTAGAAGCGATCTGGCGACAGCTGAGTTGCCAGAATCGCTTCTACCGTAAAGCCGACTGTCGGTACGGGTGTCCGTACTCGTACACCGACCTGATGGATCCTGTCTGCATCCGGGCACGGAAACCTGCACCCGTACGGACGTGCAGGTCGGGTCAGCGTACGGCGGTGTACTTCGTGAAGAACAGGCTGCTGCGTGCAATCACACGCAGCACCTGCCCTTCCCGGGAGCGGCCCAATACAGCACGGATCTGAACGGCCGGCTGTTACCCGTGTGAATGAGGGCTAACAGAGCCTGGGGTGTCCAGCAGTAGAAGCCTTGGCATTAGTATCAGGTATTATAGGAAGGGTGATGACAGATGGGAAGTTGGACATTAATATGATGATATTTCATAATGGTGTCTCAGGCTTATCCTCTAATGAATAATGTATAATAATAATATTCCTGATGACATAATCTTACCTCATGTCATGAAAAAACTATAGGCCTCATTATATCTATAATGCACAAGTATCATTGTACAAACATTGTGACATTGTTACTACTGTGATATTGGTCTCTTGTTGGCCAGGTTTTCCTTAAAGGAGAACTATGGGGTTAAGGCTTTTCCCCATAGTTCTCCTTAGGGTAACGGGAGGACACAAACTAGCGTCCTCCCTTCACCCTAGGCTCAGTATATCGCGAGCTGTAGCTCGCGGTACACTGATACACTGAGGAGCTTACAATGTATATCCCTACAACACTTATACAAGTACATACAGTCTACAAATATTTTTTTTCAGAAACGTTTCTTACAGGGGAGTTATAATGGTTTAGGGCCAGCTATATTTATTTGATAAATATTTGCATGTGGAGAGGGACAGAGATGGGTGGAAACAAGTGCAGTTCTATAGTCCAGCAGGCAAGAGTGACAATGCTGCTTAGGATTTTAGAGCAGCAGAGCCACTGTGTTGTCAGCCCAAACAGGAAGTTAGGAAGTCAGATCAACGGGTAAACATGAATATTTTTTTGACTTTTGTTTCCTTCTAGGAGCTTTTGGGTATTTTGAAGTGACTCACAATATTACCCACTACTGCAAAGCCTGTGTGTTTGAGTACATCGGGAAGAAGACGCCAATCGCTGTGCGCTTCTCCACTACAAGTAAGTAATAAAACTAAGATGTATTCGCTATGCACAGTGGTTGAATTGTGGTAGATTTCTCCCCCTGGGTTTTGACAGTGGTGATGTCATCTGATTGGCTAGAGGTAGCCATTGTTCTGATTGCAGTGGTGGTACGTTATGGAAAAGCCCAGATGTGCATTGAAAACAGTGCGCTCACTAGAGGGAACTTACTGATTTGTTACATTTAGAGGTTTCCTAACCAGCTTTGCACTTTGCTTGGTCAGCGAAGGTTCACTCAGCTCAGGAGAACTATGGGGTCAGGGCTTTTCCCCATAGTTCTCCTTAGGGTAACGGGAGGACACAAACTAGCGTCCTCCCGTCACCCAAAGCTCAGTATACTGCCAGCTACAGCTCGTGGTATACTGGGACGCCGCAGTGCGGACGCTCGCAAGGGACGGAACCCGGAAGACGGATGCCGGCATCGGCCGGAGGACACAGCGGGGCTCGTGGACAAGGTAAGTAACGCTACGCTATAATCCAGAGTGTGGCTCAGGGTTACCGCTTATGGTACTGAAAATTAACCCCGAGCCACACTCGGGAATACCGCCAAGGAGGTTAATAGTAGTAGACATGTGCACTGCCATAAAAATGTGTTTAGATTTGTTTCGTTTTAAATTCGGATTTGTGTTATTTCGTTTTTCGGGATTCGGGTGTGAAAGTCAATTCGGATTCGGAATTCGGATTCGGACGAAATTCGTTAGCAGTAGTTTGTTCGAACGTTCGTTTCGTTTTAGTTTCTTATTCGTTTTGTCCATTCATTCGTTCGTTCGGAAAACATTTTTTCTCCTTCTTTAATGTCACTTTGCTCCAACGAACGAAACGAATAAGAAACGAAAACAAAACGAACGTTCGAAAGAACTACCGCTACCGAATTTCGGAAACGGAAATTCGGATTCGTTTGCATTCGTTATATCTGTAATTCGGAATTCAGATACATCCGAATGTCCGAATTTCCGAACATTCGTCCGAATTTCGATTTGAAACGAAAGGAATCGCACATGTCTAGTAAATAGTAGTTCCAATGTTACATTCTCCTGCCAACTTTAACCATTCCCATTTTTAAAAGATGAATTATTGATTTTTATTAGGGAATTTTAATTCCAATGGAAGGTCACCTCGCACTAAATTCAGCATTTGTTCAGTGCCGACTGTGCTTTCTAACCTAGATACGAGGGGAGGCCAATACGTTCTTACCCTGACCATGATCTAGATGTGCTGGGGATCTGAAATTTTGCAGGTTTATAGGTGGATATCTTAGTAATATGCATGCCAATTTTTGTAGCTTGTGGTGAATTATAGTTAGAGCCAAGAGAAATGGAGTAGGTGTCATGACGGACAAAGTTCAATACCGCGCCGTCATTAGGTTCCTTCATCTTCAAGGGAAATCTGCCCAAATAATCCATGAAGAGATGTCAGCTGTGTATGGAGAGGATTGTCCATACGCTATGAATCTCTGCCCCATCCACCTTACTCACCTGACCTGGACGCTCAGGGGCAGATTCATAAACTATTGACAATCCTATCCATACACAGCTGACATCTCTTCATGGATTATTTTTCCCCTTGAAGATGGAGGAACCTAATCACAGCTCGGTATTCAACTTTGTCCGGCATGACACCTACTCCATTTCTTTTGGCTCTAACTATAATTCACCACGACCTACAAAAAAAATTGGCATGCATATTACTAAGATATCCACCTATAAACCTGCAAACTTTCAGATCCCTAGCACATCTAGATCATGGGTAAGAACTTATTGGCCTCCCCTCGTAGTTACTGTAAAGACTACCTACAAATTTGGTTTAAAAAAATCACTAATAAAAGAAACAATCACATTTCCTAAGAACTCCTGACTGCTTTCCTGTAATCTGTAGCTGCACCATGAGAGGGAGACATTGTACCAGGTTTTACCTCCATGTACCCGTTCTGTGTGCCAGTGATGGAGAGCTTATGTTTGCTTTTTTTGGCCCTGGAATTGTAGAGTCTTGAGCTTACAGGCTGCAATTAGCCACATTAATTGTCAGTGTTTGAAGTATGCTATACACCTTGGATAATGCCATAAGCTCTGGAGAGATCAGTGACAGCGTAAAATATGAGGCTCAAGGCTATTAAAGGCTAAGTTTAACAGCCGCATCATCCATTCACTGTTACTGATCTGTGAATAGAGAAACCACAAGTTCAATCAGCCATAGCGGCAGAGGGACTTGTAGTACTTAATGTCACCACACTCGTAGTCCATTCATTCGTCCTCCCATCTATGTTACTGAGTGTCCATGCCTCAGTACGCAGACATGAATGGGAGGAAGACTCTGAAGACACCAGAACATTGCACCCCTAATCTATAGATCACGGTTGCAATGTTTTACTGGCTTGAATGCAAAAAATACTAAATGTGCATTACTTATTATAATTTTTTTAATAAAAAGGTGGAATTTTCCTTTAAGTAGATTGATATACGTCACAGAACTCTGACAGACTGAGCACAGCCAGACACAGATGCAGTGTGTACTTGGTTAAAGGGCCCATCTACTCTACTATGACAGTCACTGATAGGCAAAGCCTGGGACAGATCTTGGTTGAGGATTAGGCAGGAGGACGTTTGCTCCAGTACTAATAAATATGTTGAGCTGGTGGCCCTTAGTGGAGATACTTCCCCATTCAGGCATTGATCAGAGCGGGATCCGCAGTCAGTAATGCATGGTGGGCATTTTATAGCTATCTGCTCCCTGTTTAGACCTACAAACACAGCGCCTGGCATAGGATAGTCCTCTAGCACCAAGTTTCTGACTGAATGCTAAGAGTCCCAAGGGAAGCTGATGTTTTAAGATGTGAAAAGGCATGTCACTATAAACCATGTCCTTTAGGAACATCCACCTTTCACCATGCCCACCAACCAATGTGGCACCATGACATACTTTACATGGTACACTTTCTCTCCCTTCTATCAAAAAGGTGCCAGTTGGTTGTGTCTGCCCCCAAGGCCAAAGATTCTCAGCCCTGTCCTGGACAGATGGATCACATCTAACAGACAAACAGTTCCACTTGATGGACTTGATGATAATGCAGGCAGGCCGGGTACACTAAGGGCCTGTGTTGACGAGCTTTTGTTCACATCAGGCAAAGTTTAAGGGAGTGCAAACTACTGCCATTGATACAAGCCCAAAGGCACAAAGCCTGTTGGGCTTTTGGACTTGTGTCAATGCAGGCTTGTAGCTTGGCATGTGTCAGTCTGTGTTTAGACTGTATAGGAAGCACATGAAACTAAACACCTTCTGTTGCCATTTATTTTGAATGGAATCCCAATGCACATATCCAGTGCACCACAGTACATGCATTTTAGTGCACCAGAAGTTTGGAGGTGAGAGGTTTGTGTATGGGATGGATTCATCTAGTGATCAGATTCTAAGCGGCACTCCTTACAGCAATAGTGACCAATCGTGCTGGAGTGGTGCTTGTTGCGACAGCAGCAGATGGTGCCGTGCAGAGTACACATGAATTGAAAAGAAGTCACCAGCACCAGTGGTCACTATGTTTCCTTGAGGAATGGACCCTGGGCGGCCCAAAACGTTAGATGACTGATTTATGTGATGCTTTTGTGAAAGAAGATGAGCTGATTATTTCACTTTCAATGAATGGATACATTTGTTACTTTCATTGGTGAACCATGTGTGCACTGTGGTGAGGTGCATTGGGAAAAATAACGGGTTCAGGGCTGTTAAAATTTCCATTGTGGTACATTGACAGGCCCTTCCAAATGAATGGCTTGCTTTACGCATTGCATCTTAACACGTGTGGGGTAGCTTACCGTAACTGTTTCCTGCCTGATGGGGGGGGGGCATGTTTGTACATTTCTTATACGTTTCTTATACATATATCTGTTTTCTGTAACAATATAATGTCTTTATTGGGATTCATATGGTCTCTTTGCAGGTGGTGAGAATGGTTCTTCTGATCTCACTCGAGAACCTCGTGGGTATGCAGTTAAATTCTACACAGAGCAAGGAAACTGGGACCTGGTTGGCAACAACAGCCCAGTGTTTTTCTTAAGAGACCCTATGTTGGTGAGTACACTGCACTACCAGAGGAAGAGGGTAAAGTAAATACTGCTACAGAACATTGCACATCGGTAGACAAAGATTGGTGCCAAGACTTGGGTTGTGCTCACCAAAGACACCTGTGGACTAGTAAAGAAGTAGTAAGTAAAATGCCAAAAAATTAGAGTTCCAATTCCTTGAGGACACAGCACTTCCAAAGTCTGTTTTTTTTATATTTGTAAAGCAGCATCACCTTTCCTGCAGCTGTAAAACACTCTTTTCGCCACAAGATGTCCTTGACTTTCTGGGTTGAATGATGCCCAGCATTACTCAAAAGACTGAGGACATACTGTATGTGTAGGTCTGGAATGGGCCAATAAGGATGTTCAAGGTGCTCATTGTCACTCAAAGATATTTCCCAGTATGTTGGCAAATCTTTGTGCAACCAGGAAAAAACAATAAGCCATTCAATTTAGTTCTTTCCACAAAGATGCTGACATACAATCATCCTTAGGGCCTGTGCATGCAGGCTTTTGTTTGCCATACAACTTGTTTTATCCCAATATAAGGCAATGGGAATGCAAACGCAGTTTAGGAGGAGGTCAAATGCACTTCTAAAGGAACTCAGAAGAGTCTTCAACTGAACTCAAATGCAAGTTGAATGCATCTGAAAGTGTGCTGCATTTTCCCATCAACACAAGCCTCATACACATTCACACACTGTAGAGCATAAGATTCTGCAGCACTCAGAGGTCTTTAGTGTCTGCACAATCCTCCTGCCTCTGCGATTAATGGACAGCTCTAGTTTTCTTCTTCTAACATTTAAAACTTCTAATTTTGCCCAAATTCTCCTTGCTGGGTCACTCTCTTAAAGGAGAACTATGGGGTAAAGGCTTTTCCCCATTGTTTTCCTTAGGGTAATGGGAGGACACAAACTAGCGTCCTCCCGTCACCCTAAGCTCAGTATACTGTGACGCAACAGTACACAGCGAGCTACTGCTCGCGGTATACTGAGACGCCGCAGCTGAAGTGGATCCCGACAATTATGCCGGGATCCGCCCAGCTGCGTGAGTGACAGCTGGCTCTGCCTATCTAGAGGCAGAGCCAGCTGTACCCGCCCGATCCGCCAGTCAGCGCTGGAGGATGTTCGGAGCGGGGAGGGGGGAATCCAGCCCCTCCCCTGTCACGGCAGAGAGGTGAGCGAACGCCGGTATGTGTTCCCTCACTTCTCGATCTACTGAGCCGACCTGTGACAGTCTCATTGTCACAGGTCGGCTAGAACTATGAGGTGAGTGAAAAGCACAGTTCTTCTTTAAGCCTTCATTTTTTTACGGTGTCTCCAGCACTCTCATGCTGTAGTCACTGGTCATCCAATCATGCTTAATCTAATCACAGTAGAGCCTATGAAATAAACATAGTGGCCTCCTATGGCATAAAGGCTTTATTGGACATGTTAGGATAAAGCAATCACAGTTACAATGGATATGAATGTATTCAGCACATCTTAATACAATACTCACCAGTGTTGTTATTATTATTATTATACAGGATTTATATAGCGCCAACAGTTTGCTCAGCGCTTTACAATATAAGTAAGACATTACAATCACAATACAAATCGAGACAAGATGGTAAGGAGGGCCCTGACCCTGAGGGCTTACAATCTAAAAGGGAGGGGGAATTGATACATGAGGAGGTAGCTGTGTGGGGATGGATTGTTTGAGAACGTGATGGTTGAGCGGTTAGGTTGAGGGGGGATAGGCTTCCCTGAAGAGATGAGTCTTTAGGGAATGCCTAAAGGCAGTCAAGGTGGGAGACACCTTGTTACTGCACTGGGGTACCGGCAAACTGCAGGGCAGAAGAACAGTGCAGCATATGGAAAAGTGCCTCTTGCCAATGCATTCTAAGTTGCAAAATGTTCATCATCAGGAGAGCTTACAACTTTGTAATAAGATGTAATAATGATTTAGTGACTAGTGTTCAACTGAACTTATATTATAACTTTTTGGTAACCCCTGGTCATTTACATTACATAACAGCGTAATATATCGTTTGGGAATGTTGTGAAATCCCTGAACTGTGCTCCCAGTTCTGCATAGCTGTGGTGGCCATTATGAGGGGTCCCACTCTAAAACCAGTCATACACATCTTGATTTTCTCTCGCTCAGCCCATGTGCTGAACAAGAGAAAATCAATCAATTCCCCCATCCATGATAAACAGTGTGGTTGGAGGCATCTCCCCTGCTGGCTATTGTATGCAGGAAGTGCGGGACCAGTGAATGTTGTAATACCCTGATATAGACTGCATTTGACAGGATGCAGTCATTGTTTGGTTGATAATCTTCCACCCAGCTCAGTCAATTTTTGAATCGTTGAGCCGGGTCGCGCTTGCAGGATCACCCTTGTCTTGGATTTCAGCCGTCTATATGTCTGAATTTTATATTTATTTTACATTATGGGAAATGTAACATAAAGAGATGGGAACCCCTAACACTCCCAAGTGGACCGGAGCAAGGTCATGGATTATAACAGGGAGATCTCACTGTTGGAGTATTCAATACATAAAAAAGCCAGCTCACCAGGATACAATAAAATCTACTTAAGAGTGGACTGACCCTTTATCTACCAAAGTAAATAAATGCACAAGATGATTAAAATTACAGGTAGGTTATGTCCTCTCTATGCAAAATGTTTATATTTTAAAAGGAAACCTGTTATGGGATAAATACTCAGGAAAGTCATTGTTGTTCATTGAAAATGTAAGATGCCTGGCTGTCCGTGGGTTCAGCACAGTCAAAGGCCCAGCACAAATATGCAGCCAGCAAAGTCATGGTCTGCATTGAAGCAATTGTATCAGCATAATTGCCAGGAAATGATCATTTTCAGGAGAGCTTAGCCATGCCAGTCTAGTTCATGTTTCCTTTTATTACTATTTGTTTTATCTAGGATCTAGTTTATTTCTATAATACAAGTTAAGAGATGGATGTATGCTTTTCAGATCTGACTTTTGTTTTCTTGTTTTGTTTAGTTCCCGTCCCTTTCACACGCACAGAAGAGAAACCCACAGACACATCTAAAAGACCCAAACGCACTGTGGGATTTTTTTAGCCTTCGCCCAGAAACCCTCCATGAGGTACTCTGTCTTGTCTCACCTGCCAAAATATGTTTGTAATTCTGTCTGGCCAATTGTGAAATATAGGCACCCCTGCCAAACACCATAGCTAGTTTGTTGACCTGCATTGCAATACAGCTTGGTCATCTGCCAGCCCCAGCCTTCTGACAGCACAGTGAGGAAAGGCAGGAGGACTCACCGTTCTCCCCTCATGTCCAGGAAGGGAGACGGACAGCGCTGTGCAAAGGGAATTCCCAGTCTACGTATTGCTGTGTAAGGGATCAAGGATAGCTGATAATGTGACAGATGGCAAGTAATTATTGTCAAAAAGAAAAATAGCGCCTTCTCAACACATGGCAGAAATAGCACCTCCTAAATATATGGCAGAAATAGTGCCTCCCCAATATATGGCAGAAATAGTGCCTCCCCAATATATGGTAGAAATAGCACCTCCCCAACATATAGCAGAAATAGCACCTCCCCAACATATAGCAGAAATAGCACCTCCCCAACATATAGCAGAAATAGTGCCTCCCCAATATATGGCAGAAAAAGAACCTTCCTCACCATATTGCAGAAAAAGAACCTTCTTCACCATATGGCAGAAAAAGAACCTCCCCAAAATGTGGCAGAAATAGCACCTCCCCAAACAAATGGCAGAAATAGCGACACCCCAAAATACAATATGGCAGAAATAGCACCTCCCAAATATGTGGCAGAAATAGCACCTCAAAGACAAAAGCAACAAAGCGCCACCTCCTTGTGTGTAAATACTCACAATTATTAAATTTCAGTCACGCTTGTCAATAAGAGACCACAAGATCAGTGTCTAAGGAATGTTCCGCTCAGATTGCGTATAAAAAGCTGCCTCCGGTCACATCACCATTCCATCATGCGGTGATGTGACCGGAGGCAGTTTTTTATACGCAGTGGAAGCGGAACACTCCTTAGACACTGATCTTGTGGTCCCCTATTGACAAGCGTCACTTCAATTTTACAATTGTGAGTATTTATAACCGTTTTCATTATTCAATAAAAGAAGATTTCACACAAGGAGGTGGCACTTAGTCGCTTTTGTCTTTTATCTATCTGATGAGAACCCCAGAGTCTCTTTGACGAGCAGCCTCTCCAAAAGCTGTGGATATTTTACAAGAAAGACTACTCCTGGAGGATTGTGTGATGGTAATCATTAGCGCCAAGAGTTAAATCGACAGTTTCAGAAATAGCACCTCCCCAATATATAGCAGAAATAGCACCTCCCCAATATATAGCAGAAATAGCACCTCCCCAATATATAGCAGAAATAGCACCTCCCCAATATATAGCAGAAATAGTGCCTCCCCAATATATAGCAGAAATAGTGCCTCCCCAATATATAGCAGAAATAGTGCCTCCCCAATATATAGCAGAAATAGTACCTCCCCAATATATAGCAGAAATAGCCCCTCCCCAATATACGGCATCCATATGCCATATGGTGGTGGTGGTCTGGGTTGGGTGCTATTTCTGCTCTATATCTTTTTGACACAGCAGTGCAGTGGTTAAGGTGGAGCTCCTTTGGTCTGTCATGGGTGGAAAAATGTATACAGGTGACCACATAAATATCATGAGACGATACAACAGAAGATGAGAAGGGTTGTAAATAAATATTGTACAATAAAAAAACTGATTTTACGTACATTATTTTTTTTTTTCTAATGATCGCTTTAGTAGCTTAACAGTCCCTTATATACACAAATGTATTATTTTTATATTTGCTTTAGACTAAATGACTCCTATATTGTAATTCATATTTAGATCACTTATTATCACATTAAATTCGGTTGGCCTATAAGGTACCACATCCTTAGAGAACAAATATACCACTGAGGTCAGGTCTGCTGTAATGGGGAAGCACATGGAGATGACTTTATGTACTAATATCAGTTCATTTTGTAGGTCACTATGATATTTACTGATCGTGGTACCCCTGATGGTTATCGACACATGCACGGATTTGGAATCCATCCCTTCAAAATGATCAATGCACGTGGAAAGCCTGTATATTGCAAGTTTGTCTACAATGTGAGTACTGGATGTATATTGCCCCGCTAACTAACCATTACAAATTTCAGCAAGATTAAATAGAAAAAAAAAAAAAAAAAAAAAAAAGGAAAGTGGAGAAGAAAGCCCTTTAATGGTAAAGTGTATCAAACCAAATACTTGTTTTTCTTCTAGCTTTGAATAGCATGGAGGAGGATTAGAATTCCTGCCGGGCTTTTACTGCTGTCTGGAGCTTCATTAGAGAGATTTATTTTCACTTCCTGTCCTGCTGACAACAGTCTCACCGGACAGGAAGTAAAAGGAAAATCTGCAGACACAGACAGAAATAAAAATATGACTGTGCTCTTCCCCTACTCTACTTAAGCTGGCCATCCACGAGTAGATTTCCGAACGAACTTTCATACGAAAGATCTTTCTGTACCACATGATAATGCCATAATAATAATGCCATCATTATCGATGATGGCATGTAAATCGAAATTTCGTTTGATTCTAACATTCGATTTCCGAATGATTGGAGGTTCCCGAATGAAAACCACATTCACTTTCCAATCCTGCTCCTTCGTCGCTACGGTAAAAATTGATTGTCGATTTGACCCCATAAAATAATAGGAAGTCGAAAAAGATCTTTTGTTAAAAAGTGCTTTTGAAAATCTAAGCAGTGTATGGCCAGCTTGAAAGTATAATTAAAGTCTTTTGTTTTTTGGCATTTATCTCCTGCTAGCAAGCAGTAAATACTGTATATGCCCCATGATTAAAAACATTATACAAATGAGGCAAATACCTAATTACTGACCTGTCCCAGCGCTGCTCGCTCCCGGCTGAAGCACTCCCGACTCCTGTAAAGAAGAAGTGTGTGGACGCATGCACAGTAGAGTGGAGGGGAAGGGAGAGAAGAGAAAGTTAAACTCAATGGATGCAGCCGGGCAGCCGGGAGCGCGCACGTTGGACAGACACGGTGGGACATGAGGAGTCTGTGGTGGATCAGAGACCGGCACCAGCGCTGGAGGGACTGTCGGAAACGAGTGGAAGGAAGAAGATGATTGGATCAAGAGGCATCAAATAAGGTAAGTGCTTAAAGCAGCATGGGCGGGGGAAGGGGGGGGGAGGGCAGTTGTTGTTGTAAAGTTCCCCTTGCTTCCTGTCTGGTAAAAACAGGAAATGGAGGTAAATCTCTCTAACAAAGACTATAACAATTGAAGTCTATCTAAAACCTTTAGCTTTTTTCCTCTCAGAGTGATAAACAGGCATTTTTAACGAAAAAAAGAAATGTAATTTATCTGTTTTTGTTTTGTTTAAAGAGACCCTGTCTTTTCATTTCAGCCAAAATCTTCCCATAAGCATATATCTATTTATTTACTTATTTATTTATTACAGGTATTTATAGAGCGCTGACAATTTACGCGTTGCTTTTACATACTGCACATACTGCTCAGTCCCTGCACTCGAGGAGCTTACAATCTAAGGTCCCCATTGCACACATACACAGGGCCAATTTAGACAGGAGCTTATTAACCTTCCAGTATGGCTTTGGAGTGTGGGAGGAAACCGGAGTATCTGGAGGAAACCCACGCAAGCACAAGGAGAACATGCAAACCCCTTGCAGATAGTGTCTTGCCTGGGTTACACATGCATTTAAGGAATGTTGTTTAACTGTAAAAGCCTCCTTAGTGTAGATATCCAAAAAAACTGCGGCTGGGTGCTGCCCACCTTGGATGTGATGTCAGCAGCGCCAGCAGACTCAGAGGTGTCCCTCAAATGACTCTCTATATTATGTAGGAAGATGAGGGGTGCAGGAGCTGGGCCAGCATAGATAGCAAATAGACTCTCCATGAAGAGGAGAGGGCTATGACATGGAGGAGAGAGGGGGCTGTGCTAGGAAATGGACTTCCTAAAGTAGTCATATTTTCCAGCAAGTTCAAAGGCACATTGTAAGCACTGGGCAGGCTTTAAGGGGGTCCCTTTTGGCATAACTTAATAAATTAACTACGATTTTATAAATGTATTTTTTTTATTCACCCCCTTTAGACGGATCAGGGTATAAAAAATCTAACAAGGGAGCAAGCGACGGCTCTTTCTGGAACAAATCCGGAGTACGCAATTAAAGATCTAGGAGATGCCATTAGCAGAGGAGACTTCCCTTCCTGGACACTGTATATCCAGGTCATGACCTTCGAGGAAGCCAAAAATATGCCTTTTAATCCTTTTGATATCACCAAGGTAAGGCGCCATTGTTATAAATATATCAAATCAACCCAAAAAATCCAACCTCTGTTTAAAGAGAGACTAAACTGCACTTTTAGTGAAGACATATCTAATGTTATTATTGTAATGCTCAGCTTGGAATAATGTTTGATCTGATCTGCCATGGTTGCTCCTGGATGACTAAGCTCTATTACAGACGCATAGTCAATAACGTTTATTCAGAACCGGTCCATGACAAGTTTCTCTTTATGTATTCTGGGGAGAGTTGAGACAAGCTGATACTGGTGAACATCCGGGCTCAGGTGGAACAAGGATTATGGAGACCTTGAACAGACCTTTATCTATGTTTGCATAGCAATTCAAAGTCACTGACACTAGAGTCAGGAGAGAAATCTTAAAAATGCATTCAAGCACCTCAACTATTAACAAAAATTAGGAGATGAGGAGAGGGGTTATGAAGATGAGGAGGGGTGGGAGATGAAGAGAAGGGTTATGAAGATAAAGAGGGGGCAGGAGATGAGGAGAGGGGTTATGAAGATGAAGAGGGGGTAGACATGTGCGATTCGTTTCGTTACGAATCGAAATTCGTACGAATTTTCCTGAAATTCCGAATTTCGGAGCATCCGAAATCTGAATGGCAGTTTCCGAATTATATCCGAAATACGAAATTCCGTTAACGAATTTCGGATCCGAATTTCTTTGAAACAGGAACTAATATTACCCCTGTAAATGAGGTTGAACAACATGACAAGATTTTTTTTAATCCGAATTACGGATCCGCTGCTGCTGATGCATTACAATACACAGTTACACACACAGGCAGGAAATACGAAATTCCGTTGATGTATTTTCGTTCCGTTACGAACATTCGTTATATTGAAGTTAAAAAGCAAGTTAATATATTGAAGTTAATATATTGGAGTTGATTGATGGTAGTTTTTTTTTAATCCGAAATACGAAATTCGGATCCGGAATTCGTTAACGGAATTTGTATTTCGGATAAAAAAAAAACTACCACTCCAATATTAACAAAGGTATTTTGCTTTTTAACTTCATAATAACGAATGTTCGCAAAGTTATGAAAATATAACCGCCACTGACGAAAATTCGTATTTCGTACGAATCCGAATGCGAATTGAGTTCAGTTACGAATTACGAAATACGAAATAACGGATATTCCGAAACGAAACGAAACAGAACAAATTTTTTGACGGCGCACAAGTCTAAGAGGGGGCAGGAGATGAGAAGAGGGGTTATGAAGATAAAGAGGGGGCGGGAGATGAGGAGAGGGGTTATGAAGATTAAGAGGGGGCAGGAGATGAGGAGAGGGGTTATGAAGATAAAGACGGGGTGGGAGATGAGGAGAGGGTAGGAGATGAGGAGAGGGCTTTGTCCTTCGTAATTCACCAATAATTAAGTAAGCAGGGCTGACACCACGTGCTCTGGAATTCAGGGCTGTGTTGTCATGTCAAAAATGAAGGTAGGAGCTCACTATATTTTTGGCACTTCATCAGGTCTTTTTCTGTACTTGATGTGTGTACATAAATAATACACGGGGACATGCGCATGTATTTCAGAGATGTACATTTTGTTTTTCTAATTTTGCCTTGACATATGCTTTAAGGAGGATTTAGTAATGATTGTCTTTCGTTGCAGATTTGGCCCCATGAAGAGTTCCCATTGTTACCAGTGGGGAAGTTAATATTAAACAGAAATCCAGAGAATTACTTTGCTGAAGTTGAACAAATAGCTTTTTGCCCACAGAATCTGATACCAGGAATAGAACCCAGCCCTGACAGGATGCTGCTGGTAAGACCTTTCACCCTTCAAGCTGAAGGGTCAGACGTGGACAACATAAGTCAGGACAATGACCAGCCAGACATAAATATTTTATAATAAGCTGGAACCATTATAAAATGTAAAAACTGCAAATTTCTATTGCTGCCTAAACTCAGTCGTGATTACTTATCTGTAAAGAGACCCTGTCATGAAATTGAAATAGTAAAACCATTTTTAAAAGAAGAAGCTTGCCATTCATCATTCCATTCATCAGAAATCTTGTTCTCATACCAACACATCCAATAGAGTCAATCTCCTGGCTTCCCCCACTGCCCAGTGGTTCTTCCTGTTGATCTTCATGTCAATACAGGACATATCAGTGAGGTTGAGGTTGGCAGGAGGAACCACTGAGCACTACAGGGGCCCAGTAGATGGACATTTTGAAAGTGTTGGATTCCCAGCAGGGGATGATTTCTTGCAAGTGGCTTTTAGTGGCGCAGGAAAGGAAAGACATGGTCACTTTAAGTATATAAATGCTTCTGAGGAATTCTTTTTTTCTGATGTAAGTCTAACAAGCATTTGCCACTATTCCAGCTAATCAGAGTGCATCACAAAGGGGCTTTAGCTGATCTGTGGTGGTAATTAGCACAGATGTCTATGCTGAATTTTCATGTACTAAGAGACTATTTGGATTTTTTTTCCTCCTAGGGACGCATGCTTGCGTATCCTGAAGCCCTGAGGTACCGGCTAGGCTCTAACTACCAACAGATCCCAGTAAATGTCTCCAAACAAGCGAAAGTAGCAAACTATCATAGAGATGGTTTTATGGCAATGGGTAACAATCAAGGTATCGTATGTGTTCTAAATTTGGAGCTTGAGATCAAAGATTGATTGCTTTTTTTTGCAGCTCAAATATGTATAGCAGACTAAGGGAATTGTTTATACAGGAGAGGATTAGCTCATGTTCACCAACCGCAGGACATTGCTGGAAATACTGCACACTGTGTCTGTATTTTTCATACCATTGAAAATATTTTGTGATATATCTTTTATAAGTGCAAAAAATACCTCTTGATCCTGCCAGAAATCTTGTCCGCTGATAACTTCCTGTGCTGTTTGCCTGTGCTGCACTGTTATCAGTTTTATTGTTCTGATGTCTACAGGCCTTTGCCTACCATATGCGGACAGGGGGAGCTTCCTTGTGTCCTGTCTTGATATCTAATGGTTGCCACAGTGCGAGTAAGCATTGTCAAACTAGGACAGGAAGTGTGTTACTGGCAGAATCACCAGGTGGAAAGAAAAAAAAAGGAAAACAGGCTGAAAAAATAAATTTATGCAGCCACCACATTTAAGGACTGGGAAGCTGCAATATATTACATTTTTGTTTTTGGGTTTAGATATGCTTTAACCCAACCCTGAAACTTGACCTCCCAATAACCTGAACCCTAGACCTAAGGGCTAGTTCACAACATAAGCAGTGCGTTTCAGTCCGTTTTTGGCCAGAATGCACTGCCTCAAATTGCGGCCGGATCACTTTTTTGCCGGGCTGGAGGGGGCGTGGTGGGCCATTGAAGTGAATGGCCCCGTAGCCACGCCCTCCGGTCGCAATGCGATCGCCCGCACGGGATTGCAAGACACATTGTGCCTGCAGTGTGGTCCGGTGCGGTGCGATCAAAATGCTGCAAGCACTATATATATTCCAATATTCTATATGTATATATTCTGTTCATATTAGGGATGCACCGATACCAGTTCAGATACCAATGCCGATACTTTGCATTTCATGAGAACTACCAGAGTTGCAGCTGGGACCGGACTCTGGCGCTCAACCACTGTCCTGAAATCATTAGTCTGTATTGTCACATGACACTAAACAAAAATGTATCAGAACTTGTATCTGTGAGTACTTGGGCAAGTATCCGTACTTGTACTCGCAAAACTGGTATCGGTGCATCCCTGTATATAGGTTTATAAAAACAAAATCAAACATTATAACAGAGATGTACTAATCCCGGGAGCTCTGTGTGCTCCTTACAAATGACAGCGGCCTCCTAACTTTTGAATTTTTCTCTAGTCTAGTCTTAGAGCTCGAAAAGTATCAGTACCGAGTACGTCACTTGTACCGAGTACGTCACTTGTACCGAGTACGTCACTTGTACCGAGTACGTCACTTGTACCGAGTACGTCACTTGTACCGAGTACGTCACTTGGTATCGGTGCATCCCTAGTTCATATAGTACACTTTATATTGCATCAAGGTTACTTTTGACCACTTGAGTTTAGATATTTATGATTCAATTGAAATCTTATGATAAATCTGTCTAAAATATTAGCCATGGCTCACTCTAAACTGATAGCCAGTTATAAAACATACAGGGAGCCAACCAAGTCAGAGCTTCAGTTTTTCATACAGGCATTTCTGTTGTGCCCCAGTCAGTCCCATTGCCTTTTCTAGATAATGTGACATAATCTCTATTGCTCACCTGTTTGTAATGCAGAAGAGTTATTCCCAAACATAACCCCCGCAGGCATATTGCTGTCTGTCACATACCGAAAGCCCGATGTTTCAGAGTCAGTGTTGAGAAATTTCTAAAAGTTGTAAGTCAGATTCAAACATTGATGACATTAATGATGCAGTCTGCCATCAGCATTAACATAGCAGTGTTTGTTTTTCGGAGTCCCCCCCGTAACATAATTTTATTGCCTGTTTATCATGTCCATAAATTCATTTTTTGACTTCCTATAACTGTGTGACAACGCTGTTTGTTCTAGAGTAAAATCATATAATCATTCCATGTCAGATAGGCATGGAATATAAAATGGACTTTAAGTAAGAGGCAAGCAAAGCCTAACCCTTGCTAATATTGTTTAATCAGTTATATAACACGTTTTCTTTTAATAAAAAAAGTATAAAAGAAACAAAATAAAAGGGAACCGTAGTAAGGCAGTTTTATATGGTTTGTCCAAACGGCTGTAACTTCTGGAGATACAGGAAACAAGCATACTCTACCCACATATGAGGATAGGTGCCGTGGGGAACTTAGCTAATTGAATAGACTTTCTAAGAGCTGTGGTGTTTTCCTGCCTACCATTAGCAGTTCACTAATTGATTCCACTTGTTGCCTGAAATTGCTCTTTAAGGAAGTGGGCCAAACTACTATCCAAACAGCTTTGGGGGCCCAGAGGAAACGAGAGAGTTCCTACAGTCATCTTTTCATTTATCTGGAGATGTCGCCAGGTATGATGACTGCAAAGAAGATAACGTGTCCCAGGTAAATTTCTACCACATCAATGATGATACAAATTATAATAATAAATATAAATATAGAATATAGTAAAGTATAATAATAAATAATAATGCTTTCTTTACCCCTTGTCATTGAAAAAATACTGCCCCATCTAGTGCCTTCAAGTCATGTGCTGAAATGTTTTGATTTTTGATTCCTAAAGCAGAAAAAAACAACAATTTAAATTACAAAAAACACAATTGCTAATTAATCATTGAAAAAAATGGTTCCTGCTCCTGAAAAAATACCAAGGAAGAGATATCTGCTCCTGAGTGATGAGGTACAAAATAAACCCCTTTCGGAGTCAACTTGCCCTGGTCAATATTGATCAAAAGAGTCCTCCCCTGAATCAGGGGCGTAACTACACATCATGGGGCCCCATAGAGAAAATGTTATGGGGGGGACCCCTTGACGACCGCTCTCTGAGATGTGTCTAATGAAACAAAGATCCCAAAGACTCCTCTTGTGCATCAGCTACACTGTAGACTTTGAAGAGGATGATACAGTACTATGTTATCTTCACATGTTCTATGTTTAATATGTCTCAACAACCTAATGGGGCCCCCTTCCACCCCCAGGCCCCATAGCAGCCACCTGGGCTGCTATGGCCATAGTTACGCCGCTGCCCTGAATAATTTAGGAATAAATAAAACATTGCCCTGATTAGAGATGGAACACAATATACATTTTCCTTATTAAATATCCAACAAAAGAGCACAGATCCTGCATATTGAATGAACAAAATAAACCCTGCCCTTTGAAGAATCAAAGAACAAAAAAGTCCTGCCACTGTGTCATGGATGAAAATAAGCTCCACCCCCGCCTAATTACTGAACAAAATAAGCCCTGTTCCAGGTTAATTATAAGAGACATTAGGCCTTGTCCTGAAAACATATCAAATAAAATACCTTAGTTCCTGAATAATAAAGGAACAAAAATGTCTTATCAACTATTCATGCAACAAAGCGTTTATATGCCCCTGTATAATTAAAAAATTCTTATTCAGATTTGTTATGTCCCACACTAATTAAAGCTCTTTGTTAATCATGCAGCTACATACATTATGACTCATTAATCAGTACTGGAAATTATTTCTCAGTAAATACTCAGGTACTTTTTGAGAAATAATTTTCACCATTGATTAATAATGGAGCAAAGTTAGTCCTGCCCCTGGTTAATTATGAAACAGAATTAGGCCCACCCCTGAAAAACCATTTAACAAAATATTTAGTTCTGCTTTAATTATAGAACAAAAAGAACCCGGCTACATGCTGGAACACAGCAGGTTAAATTCCTAACCATCATGGGGCACGAGGGGCACTCCCCATGTTCTTTAGTAGAAGAAAATAAAATCCAGGCCCTACTATAGAGGTAACTGTAGGTGTGCACATAAACGTACATGCAAAATACACATCTGTTTTTCGCGAGTTCAAATCCAGCATGTACTTTATATAAAGATTTGTATCAATGATAGTACTGTGGACTAGACATGATCTTGTTCTACTGTAATCCAACTCAGCCATGGTTTCTTACCCAGGTACGAAAATTCTATCTCACTGTTCTGGACTCGGCAGAGCGACAGACCCTGTCTCAGAATATTGCAAAGAGTCTGGTGGGTGCCCAGCCCTTCATTCAGCAGAGAGCAGTGAGTTATTATTGCTTTTTTTTTTATTGGACTTACAGCACTATATGTTCCACAGACCTGTATGAAATAAGTTACACACAGAGGTTTTATAATACATATCAGAGTAAAATAAAAGCACATGTTTTATCTCTTTAAAAACACTCTAACTACAGAACATTACCCATTGATCTGCCAGAAGTCCAGTGTCCTGCTAACTTCCTGTTTGGGCTGACAACACAGTTTGGGGGGAATTTATCAACACTGGAGCTGACAGAATCTGGAGCAGCTGCCCATGGCAACCAATCAGCTTCTCTCTTTCATCACCAATGCTTAATTGAACAAACTGAAGAGAGAGGATGGTTGCCATGAGTAGTTTTGATAACTTCCCCCCAAGTGTCTCTTAAAATCCCAATCAGCCTTGTTAGCCTTGACTACAGAACTCCCCCTATCCCCCCACCCCTCTCTGAACCACTCTATATGCATACATTTCTTTCTTTTCTAGCAAAACAACGCTGCTGCCTTTACTCCCAAGAGTCTGCCCACACTGTGAGCAGGAAAAAGGCTCTTGGGAGATGTAATTCTGGGTGGAGACAGTACTATTTCAGTAGGAACTATGCTCCCACAGGAACACAGCAAGTCTGTCACCTTCAGGTCATACTGCTGCCTACAGAAGAATTGACTTCCTGCATTCCTCAATGCATTATAAGAAAAGAATGGTGTGCACAAAAATCCTTTTTGCTTTCTCAATCTTAGAGGGACACAAGAAGCCAATCTTGGAGCGCTATCCCTTCACTTTCAGCAATCTCTGACACCTGTCAAATACCTGTAGACAGAAATTGTGAAGCTTTCCATTTACTTTCTGTTGTGCCTGGCACTCAACAAATAGACATGAAGTAAGAAAACATTTCCCTGATAGGGGCAGAAACAATAATGCAACCATGATAGGGATTCTAAACCTTCTTTACCCCGTCCAAGACTATAAATGTTTTGTCTGCCTTTGGGGTTTACAATTTTTTTAGACAACTAAAAGGTATTCTGTACACATTTCCCAGGTAAAGAACTTCACTGATGTGCACCCTGACTATGGAGCCCGAGTCTTGGCTGAACTTGAAAAACTTCGAGCAGCCAAAGAGGTAAAATAAACTATTAACATTGAAGTAGCATAACTCTAAAAGCCAGAGATAGTAGAGTCAGAATGGTAAAGTACAACACGTTGTAGGAGCTCTGAGGAACCCTCTGGCCCTAATGTATGCAAGGGTTGTAGGATGGGGTTGAGCTCTGAGGAAACCTCTGGCCCTCGTGTATAAAAGGGTTGTAGGATGGGGCTGAGCTCTGAGGGACGCTCTGGGGAATCCTCTAGTCCTCATATATGAAAGGGTTGTAGGACGGGACTGCACTCTGAGGCACCCTCTGGTCCTTATGTATGAAAGGGTTGTAGGACGGGACTGCACTCTGAGGCACCCTCTGGTCCTTATGTATGAAAGGGTTGTAGGACGGGACTGCGCTCTGAGGCACCCTCTGGTCTTCATGTATAATAGGGTTGTAGTATGGGGCTGAGTTCACAGCAGCCTCTGAGTAACTGCTTAGTACCCGTATGAACCCCTGCTACTTTCTACACTTCCTTTAAGCCAGAATGCTCAACCTACTTGATATGGGGGACACTTTTGTAGTCCCTCACATCACTAAAGGGTGCCTCATGACAGCCAGTGGATGTTATGCTAAATAAAGCTGTCAGAGACTGCAGATATGCAACTGGAGATGAACAGAGGCTATGAACATGCTGTAAGAGTTTTTGGGAACTGGGGACATGGTTCAGGAGACGGTCATAGACTGGAGACCCTTTAGATGAGAGTGCTGCCAGCTGATTGGTGGCATTTATTTTTTGGCTGAGAATTTTTAGCCCAGCTACTTCAACAAAAGTCGATTTGGGCAAATATTAAAGAGCATAATAAGCCCTCGGAGACTGAGTTATATAGATACATACAAAACCATTACTGGATTTATATTCCCAATTGAATAAAATTAACTTGTCACTCAACGCATTCTTATGTTGGTAAATGCGAAGCAGACTTATTGCGGACTTGGACAGAGGAGCTTAAAGGGTCATTATGCAGTGGTATATGGTCCCTTCATGTATAGCTCATTTGAACCCTACTAACATGACAGATGTTTCCGGGTTTGTGATGTGCCTGGAAACATGTTACATACTTGGTGCACGTGCCAATTTGCAGCCACCTTTTGGTTGCCAAAGACACTCTTCCAGAAAAGTTTGGTGAAAGATCCATGGCAAGCACTCTCACATACGATTGTAACCGAGCTGACTAAGTATCAACATGCCTTCACCCATCATGTATTTGTGGCAACAAGGCGGACCCTTGCTAGAAATTGGGAAAAAACAGCCTATTGCGTACACAAAGTTTACTCATAGAATGGATAACATTATCGTAATTGAACACCTAACAAGTATCTTGGAGGAAAAACATGGGGAGTTCCTGCAAATTTGGGAGCCCTGGATACAGACGTGCCATCCAGACATGGATTCAATTAGCTTTGGATATCTCTGATTGGTACGCCGGTGAAGGGTTAGCAGTGAGGGGGAACAACTTGAGTGTCCCTTCCTGCTTGAACCCTTGTTGCCCTGTTTGGAGGTGGCACCTGATGAGACCCATTCTTCATGTTCTTTTCCTTGTCTTCTCTCTTTATAACAAAATGTTTATTGATTTTCAGTATAAAATAAACAGGTATTTTACACACAATAATGTGGTAGCAAAGTATCACGTATACATTGTCATACAATGAAGGATAGAAATCACCAGCACTCGGTAGATGATGTTCAAAAAATAAAAACGTCCATTTGTTTGGGTCCAAATAAAATGGACGTTATTATTTTTTGAACTTCATCTACTGAGTGCTGGTGATTTCAATCCTTCATTGACTGATGTACACGGCACCATCCGTGATTGTCACTGCGAGCACCACCATTGTTACTTGGACCGGAAACGCTGTAAGGAGTGCAGGGGGACCTACTGTTTTTCTACATTGTAATACAAGCATAAGATACAGATGCAGCTATATGCATTATATTGACATCCAGTGTAAAACCAAAAGAAAGGATAGAGAAGGAAGAAAGGAAGTCTGGTAGAAGATCCATCGGAGTAAGTAGTATCAATGGTAACCGGAGGTTAGTACAAAGGTTCCGCAAGCAATGTTTTGGGGGTGTCCGTCTCGCCCATTGGAACGCAAAGGGCTCCCTCATAGATTGTTAAGAGTATTCTTATCTAGGTTAGGATGGTGGTGCAAAATGCAGGGTCCCCAGACATTTAGAAATTTGGTATTAGTATCAGTCAATTTAAAGGACAATCTTTCATTGAGCATAATGTTATCCAATCTCTGTGTACATTCTCTGTAGGGGATGAACTGTTGCTTCCAATTGCCTGCAATTGTCAATTTGGCTGCAAGGAATATTTGGTGTGCCAAAGAGCCTTGGGAAGTATGTAAGCCAGGTATGGTGTCCTGTAACAGGGCATGTGTGGGATCCTTAGTTTACGAAATAGACATGATAATAAACGGTAGATCCTAGTCCAAAAGCGTGAGGCAAATGGGCAGGTCCACCAAGTATGTAACATGTCTCCTGGGAGATCCTCTCTCTTCTTTATATTTCTTCTTTCTTGCTTTTCTCCTGGTGTTCCGTCTTCTGAGATGAAGTTTGACTTTACCACAAAAGGTACAACAATGGTAAAAAGAAAACTCGTTTGAAAGCTTTGTTCTAAGTTCATGGACTGCAGAGTCTCATTCCTGTTCTGTGATGCTCCCGAGATGGATTCCTATTAAAGGAGAACTATGACGTGAGTGCTTTTCAGCGCTGACTGGCGGAACGGACGGGGCGGGTACAGCGGGCTCTGCCTCAAGATAGGCAGAGCCAGCTGTCACTCACGCAGCTGGGCGGATCCAGACATAATTGTCGGGATCCGCTTCAGCTGCGGCGTCTCAGTATACCGGGGGCTGTAGCTCGCGGTATACTGAGCCTAGGGTGACGGGAGGACGCTAGTTTGTGTCCTCCTGTTACCCTAAGGAGAACTATGGGGAAAAGCCCTAACCCCATAGTTCTCTTTTAAAGTCATTCTTTACTGTGGTATTATCTGTTGCCGCATTATGTTACTTCCTTTGTAAGGTTTTTATGCTACTATTGTAACTGTTGACTGCAATATTTGCGTAATGATTTTGTCAAATTACCTTTGACAAAATTTTAATAAAAATGTTGACGCAGTAGATACCTGCTAGCAGTAGATATATGCAAAAAAAACGTGAGGCTTTAATAATCCTTTTAAGTAAATGTGATTTTCAACGCTATAACCCTAACGCTTCCCCGTCCTCTCTTGTCTAGGAGAAACAGAAGCAGGAAGAACAGGCACCGGTACTGCAGCAGGTCAAGCTCTTCTGAGATCATGTGACAATCCACCAACACCTTTCTCTTCAAACTGAATTCATAAAAATATTGATCTCCCATCTAAAGACATAATAGAAGGTGAATGGTCTCCTGTCTAAACTGGCTCTGTATGATTGTAAGCTCTTAGATTGTAAGCTCCCTGAGGGCAGGGACTGATGTGAATGTGCAATATGTGAAGCGCTGCATAAAAATTGTTGGCGCTCTATAAATAGCAATAATAACAATAGTCTCTGTATCTATTCATTCAACATTAAATGTATGGCTTTTTTTTTAATGCACGCACTTGAATTAGGCTTGGTATCAGCTTTGCACAGTTCCAGAACAGCAGAGCTCACACTGGGAGAGGAACAAGCAGCATACTGAGCCAATCAGCTGTGCTACAGTTCGAGGAGCATGCTGATAGATGGAGGGAGAAGAGTGACAGAGAAATTAGCTTTTTAGAGTTTAGTCTCATTTTACTGGGTTGGGAGGAAACCTGTAGGTGAATAGTGAAAATGCAGCAGAGAAAGGTCAGGACCCCTACCCTGACAGCCAGCACTATGCTGCGTTGCAGAGCTGTGTAAATCTCAGGACTTGATGGACATAAAATACCCAGGTACAGTGTGTATTTCATCGGTGTAAAAGACGCCGGCCGCTCACTGCGCTCTCGGCCGGCTATCACAGTTTTTCTTTTCCCGGCTGGGACATAGAGCAGCGCCCAGCGGGGAGGAAAGAAATCAGGGATGCGCTGATGTATCGGCAGGAAAATGGCACTTTCGGCATTATGCCGAAAGTGCCATTTTCGGCCGATATATCGGTGCATCCCTAATTTTGGGCTCTAGTTCACACCGCAGCGTTCAGTTCCAGAGCATGTAAAATAACTGCAGCAAGCCCTATTTTACCTGCTCTGGAACGCATGCAAACGCATCCAAAACACATGCAAACGCCATGGAATGCACTGAAAGCCCATTCTAAACTAAGAAAAAAAAAATTCTACCAAAAACGGGCCCGGAACGCATCAAAAAACGCCGAAAAAACACGACACAACCCACTGCACTGCGTGTGCAGAAACTCATGCAGATCTGGTCTGCATTTGGTGTGAACAAGGCCTTATAAATAGACCCCATAGTGCTAACGTTACACATTTTAAACTGTGTTGTGTTGCATTTTTTGAAGGGCCCCGGAAAGTGGCGGCGCTTGGTGGCACTTTCGGCATTATGCCGAAAGTGCCATTTTCGGCCGATATATCGGTGCATCCCTAATTTTGGGCTCTAGTTCACACCGCAGCGTTCAGTTCCAGAGCATGTAAAATAACTGCAGCAAGCCCTATTTTACCTGCTCTGGAACGCATGCAAACGCATCCAAAACACATGCAAACGCCATGGAATGCACTGAAAGCCCATTCTAAACTAAGAAAAAAAAAATTCTACCAAAAACGGCCCGGAACGCATCAAAAAACGCCGAAAAAACACGACACAACCCACTGCACTGCGTGTGCAGAAACTCATGCAGATCTGGTCTGCATTTGGTGTGAACAAGGCCTTATAAATAGACCCCATAGTGCTAACGTTACACATTTTAAACTGTGTTGTGTTGCATTTTTTGAAGGGCCCCGGAAAGTGGCGGCGCTTGGGGGCATTCCTCGCCCCTTTGTGGTTCATAACTGCAGGCCTGGGAATGGCATGCCACAACTGATTATCCCAGGAGAGCCGTGTGTCGG